GGTCCCCACTCAGAAAAGTCATTTGCATCCCCCGTACGGGGCCCCGACTGCTATATTAATCTCCCCGTTTGTCCCCTCCTGAGTCATCTAATATTACTGCTGGCTAATTAAAACATCAAAGCGCAAGTACAACAGCCCTGCCAGAGGCCTCCTAATGCCTGGTTTCAAGTGTGCAGTGTGCGCAGCCTGGTGGGGAGAATGACACGGCATAAGCCCGGGCCCCCAATTACTTGGCTCGTAATGACCACCCCTCGTGCATCTGGAACCTCAACAGATGGCCTTTTTTATTGCCTGCATCTCACTCCCTCCGCCCTGCCAGTGAAGGCTGCCGGCTGCCCACCCACCGACCACACCCCACACCTCTTCCAGGCTACCCACTCTTCTGCCTTCCTGTCACCTCCACGGGTCCTGGGCCCGACCCCAACGCCAACACCATGTCTGTTATCCCCACTCTGGGATTCCAGCTGCTTCTCAACCTCCAGGGTGTTAAGCTGCTGGTGGAAAGAATTTCTAAACTGGCTGAGTGACGCCCGGTATTTAGGGAGGATGGCTGGGATGCCTCCCTCAGGGGCAATATAGGGTTTTATTTAATCAAGGATGCAGGTCACTAGCACGATCAGAGGAAGTCGTCACCCAGAGGCCTGCCCAGATGTGACCTCCATCACCTGCACATCTGCTAGAAGAGACAGGAGTGGAAATAGAATCCTAAAGAAGTTTAGGATGTCTGGACGGGACTTCAAAGGAAGTGGAGTTGCTTGTACTTGGCTTTGCAGGGGGACATAAGTAAAACAACTTAAGAGTTTAGCAGGATAGAGGACAAACAGGGAATGAAGGAAAGAACTCATCCAAATCCTTCGCCTCCTGCTCCCAGTGTGGTAGTACAGTAGTAATACTTGTAACAGTGGTCATGGTACTGGGACTAGACGTTGTCCTGGTGGTGGCAGAATGATAACACCAATTGTGATGAGTCATGACCAACATTTAGAAGGTGGTTGCAATCACTCAAATGAAAGATGATGGTGGCTTGGATGAGGTGCTGGCCGGTAGGTAGAGAGAAAGAGGACCAAATGGATTCTAGAGCTATTAAGGTTAAAATGGGTAGGAATTGGGGATGGATCGGGTCTAGGGGATAAAGAGGAAGATGTCCAGGACAGCTCCCACCTGTGGTTTGCACAGGTGGTGGATGGATGGAGGTACCCAGCACTGAGTTGGGAACCACTGGAGGTGACCGGATCTGGCCAGAGCGGGAAAGGGTGGAAGATCATGGGTCCTAGCACCTTCCTTTTGTCCTCTGCTCCTGCTCCCTGCACTGTTCTGGAGCTATCTTTAACAGCTGCATGCTGTCACCTGCCTCCTGTTCTTCCCCACACTCCAACGTGGCGGCATGGATGCTTTAGCACAGAGCTCCTATTCCACTGGCCAGACAGGTGGCTATAATATGCTTCTCACCTCAGGACCTTTGCACAAGCTGTGCTCTCTGCTGGCAAGACCCTGCTCCTTCCTCTTTGACTGGTTAATACCTACTTGTCTTTCTGATCTTGACTTAGAAGTCAAATACTCTGGGTCAGGTACCTCCTCTGTGTGCATCCACAGTCCCCTGTACACTGCCAGCATCCCATGTTATGGTACCCATTGCACTCAGTTAAAGTGGTTCATTCAATTTTCATCCCTCCATTAGACTGTGAACTGCATGAGGGCAGAGGTCACATTTATCTAGTTTGTCACTGTAGTCCTGGCACTTACTGCCTTGCCTGGCACGTATGAGATACTCAATAAACATGTATTGAATGAGTGAATCATGCGTTATGGCCAAGAAGCAGGATAGTCAGTTAAGGTAATTTTTTTTACATTGAATTTTTTATTTTTTCTATTTTATTACTTTTTTGTTTTACTTGTATTTGGGAGGTTAATTAGGTTTATTTTTTTATTTTTAATGGAAGGATTGAATCCAGGACCTCGTGCATGCCAAGCACACACTCTGCCACTGAGCTATAACTTCCCACCTGCCCGCCCCAAAGGCATGGTTTGAAAGCCAGTCTGCCAGGATTTGACTCATGGCTCCAGCTTACTAGTTCTGTGATCTTGGATAACTTGGTTAACCTCTCTGCCTCAGTTTCCTCATCTGTAAAATGGAGATGATACAGTTGTTGCTTTGCCCACAGCAAGTGCTCATTGAATGCTGCTTTTCAGTAGTAGTCCTTCAGAGTTTTCTGTGATTTTTGTCCTGGATTTAGCTGATTTAATCATAATTCACAGCTCCCTTACCAGCCTAAGCACCTCCAAGCTGATGAGATGGAGACGCTGCCTCCTTTCTGATTCATCTCCTTGTATTCATCCTTACTTCAGCCACACAGGCCTCCTTGCTGGTCCTATGAACTTAGCAAACTCATCCCTACCCCAGGGCCTTTGCACATGCCTTTCTCCCCTCCACTTTGTCATCATCACCTCCCTCTGTATTATAATCTTATCACCACCTAAAATTATATTATCCATATAATAGTTTACTTATTATTTATCTCCTCTTCTCCCAAAACAATGTCCCAGAGGACAAGGATCCTGACTATCTTGTTCATCTCAGTGACCCCAGTGCCTAACAGTGCCTAGCACATAGTAGATGTTCAGTAAATACAATTTGAATGTGTGAATGTCCTTCCTCAAGGTCACTGCCCAGGGCTCTACTCTTTGGCATGAGTGTCACTCAACACTGGCTCATATTCTCCCCTCTGTTGCTCAGCCATTGCCTCAGCGTATGCCTGCTGCTTCTCCCTTACAGTTGCTGATGCTTGTCTGATGCACAAGCACACCTCTGCCCAGGCAGGGAGACAACTGGTCAGAAACACCCAAGATAGAATGTGATTCTTATCAGTGAAGTTTAAAATGGATGGGCCAACATTGACCAGCCCAGGCTCATCCCCCCTTACTTAATGGGCAGTTTGCTTACAGAAGTGAAGACAAGTAGGGGACTGAAGATGCTCAAGACAGAGAGAACTGTAGGTGCAAAGGCCCTGAGGCAGGGACATGCTTGGGCTTTTTGAAAAGCAGAAACCTTAAATTTGGGGGAAATATTCTATGCTTCAAACCTTCCTAATTTAAACCTTTTCTTTCCCCAGTACTTTCCAGAAATGGTGAGTCTGGGCTGTAGCAAGAAGGCCCAGAAATCCAAGTAAATCCAAGGCTTGATTCCTCAGGCCTGAGGGCTGTTATCATTCAAAGAGACTGATGGTGTTCTTTCAGTCATTTATTTATTCAAGAAACATTCATTGAGTCCCTGCTATGTGCCAGACCCTGAGCTAGATGCCAGAGAGACCACCTGTGAGTTCCTGACCCCTCTCCATAGGACAGAACCTGAAACGTTCTTCCACAGCACCTCCTTCTGCACAGGTGGAGGGACCAGGTTCCCTGCCACCTAGCACATGTCAGCCCCAGAAAGTCAGTGACTGGGGGCAGATTCCAGGAAGAGCATCGCCTCTCCTCATCCCCGTGGAGGCAATCTTCCAGTGCTCTCAAGACCCACCCTAATATCCCATCTTCATTCTCTCCTCCAGCCCCCTGCCTCGGGAAGGCAGTCCCCCACGAAGAATGGCAGTCCCTCCAAGTGCCCCCGCTTCCTCAAGGTCAAGAACTGGGAGACGGATGTGGTTCTCTCGGACACCCTCCACCTTAAGAGCACGTTGGTGAGTCTCCCAGCGAGGGGTAGACCAGGGTGTCTCAGCCTCAGCACTGTCCACATATGGGGCCTGCTGATTCTCATTGTGGGGAACACTCTGTGCATTGTAGGATGTTGAGCATCACCTCTAACTGGTACCCGCTAGATGTCAGCACCCCACCCCCCGAGCTGTGACAACCAAAAATGTCTCCAGATATTAGCAGATGTCCCCTGATTGGGAAATCTACCCCCATTTGTAACCACTGGTGGATACTTATTTATACAAATACTTTTTATTTATGTACCTTGTACCCAAAAGAATCTAAGGGGAGTTGCTGGTTCTAAGAAGATTCCTTTCATCTCTCACAATCTGACCACTAACGGAGTTTTGAACAAATTCTTCTTTTTTTCTCACAGCCTGTCCTCTCATTTTTTATGTTATATTTTTAACAGTCAACAAATCAACCTATTGCTTTAAATTTTTGTGTTGAAAATGGGCCTCTTGGAGGAATGTTGTATCAGTTAGCTATTGCTGTGTAACAAACTTCCCCCAAAGCATAGTAACCTAAAACAACCACCACTAAGTATTTTTCCAAAGCCTATAGATTGGCTGAGTGGTTCAGCTGATCTCAGTGGACCCCATGCTTTTATGGTCATCTGAGAGGTCAGCTGTGGGCAGGCTGGTCTGGGATGGCCCTGGCTGGGATAACTCAACTCTGCTCCATGTGGCCTTTCATCTTCCAGCAAGCTAGCTTGATCTTCTTCACATGCTGACTGCAGGGTCCTGAGAGAACGAGCAGAAGCTCTCTTGAAGCCTTGACTCAGGTGGGCACAGTGTCACTTCTGCCATATTCTGTTGCCCCAAACCAGCCCAGATTCAAAGGATGAGAAGAACAGCTCCACCTCTTGATGGGAACTGCTGTAAAGTCACAGAGCAAAGGCTATGACTACAGGGAGGAGAAGAATCAGGGCTGTTTTTGCAATCAAAGTCCCGTAGATGTGTTCAAATGAGTTACTAGAATCACTGTTCTTGCTCCTTCTTGATCAACATGGAATCAAAATCTATTTAAGGATTCAGCACCAGTGGTTCTGATTCCCAGGGAATGGCCATCACAAAGCCCCCCTTCTTCTAGTTGAATAGAGCTGACACTTTCAGAACCTTAAAATGCAAAACTTCAAAACCTTAAAAATCCATTCCTTACTTTGGCTGGTGACCACATCCAATGATGATTGGAAGCTGGTATATGAGAAATTCCTTTTTGGGAAGTAAAGGCCAGGTAAATTCCATCACAGGTGTCGGATCTGGTCCACAGCCCTACAGGTACCACACTTGGGTGAAACTAAGTTATAGCCCAAACTTTTCCTTCCAGGAAACGGGATGCACCGAGCACATCTGTATGGGGTCCATCATGCTTCCTTCTCAGCAAATACGAAGGCCTGAAGACATCCGCACAAAAGAACAGCTCTTCCCTCTCGCCAAAGAGTTTATTGATCAGTACTATTCATCAATTAAAAGGCAAGTTGTATGTCAACTCTGGGAAACCCTGAGCGCTGGATACAGACACGTCAGGTCCAGATTTGCCAACAGTTGAACCAAGACCTGAGCATAGGGCCTCTGCCTGCCATACACAGAGGTTGAAAACTGGTGGCCCAAGGGCCAGACCTGGCCCTCAGAAATGTTAGTTTAGCCTGCAGAGTGTTGCTTAAATTGAAAACATTTCAAGCAATTCCACGCCTGGGTATATACCCTAAAGCAATTTTCACACTTGTTCATAGAGAATGTACAAGTTGTGGCAGTTTCTGTAGTGGAATATTATAGAGCCGTGAAAATGAACAGGTTAAATCGCTGCATGTTCATGGAAATGAAGCTCACAAATAACTTTGAGCACAAGAAAGAATGGATGAGTTGTAGAAGGATACACTCAGGACAGCACCATTTATGTAAACTTTTTAAACATGCAGGATAGCACTGTACATGATTTGGGGGATATATACACTGGTGGCAAAATAAACACATGAGAATGCTAAATGTCACATTCAAAATAGCAGTCACTTCTGGGAAGAAAGTGGGTCTGATGGGGAGTGGTCCCTAAGGAACTAGAATGTTTTCTTATTTATTATGTCTCAGGCTTGGGACATGGGTGTTCATTGTATTATTCCCGGTACCTTTTTGTAAGCCTGAAATTTTTCGTAAGAATTTTTTTAATTTTCTAAAATTGAATTCGTTGCCACCATTTAAAAATTAGAAGAGTTCCCTTTAAAAATCAGATTCCCAGTTTCTCTTGAAAGAAGATTGGGCCCCCATTCCTATCAGGTACCCACTGGCAGGAGCAGAGTTGAGGTCATCCCCTTTGGACCAAGTGTGGCTCATGTGTTTGCCACAGTCCCCACACAGCCAGTTCAGTCGTGTGTACATTGCCCAGCCTTTGTGGGTATTTGAGTTTGCAGTCTCCGCTTTATGCTCAAAGTATTGTGTCCAGATACCAATTCAGACTCGCTGTGGCTGCTGGCCTCCTGTAATAGCGCACTCCTTCTACCAACCTGTAATTTTGGAAAGAAGGTAATGCCCCTATGTATCTTCCCTCCTCACTCAGATTTGGCTCCAAAGCCCACATGGAGAGGCTGGAAGAGGTGAACAAAGAGATTGAAACCACCAGCACCTACCAGCTCAAGGACACGGAGCTCATCTATGGGGCCAAGCACGCCTGGCGGAATGCCTCCCGCTGCGTCGGCAGGATCCAGTGGTCCAAGCTGCAGGTAGGCAGCGAGGCTCAGCTGTCCTGAAGAGCACTTTGATGTGTGTGTGTGACAGGTGAAGGGATGAGCTTTAAAAAGGATCAGCCCCTACCAAGCAAGGGCATTTGGTGGCCATGGTGAACTCTCAGATGGCGATCAAGGGGCCCCAAATTCTCAAATCGTGATTGAATCTGGCTTATAGCCATATCTTATTTAGCCAACACAATGGTTTGTTTTTTAAATCGAATTTGCATGTCTCTTGGTAGAGCTTTTACTTTCCAGTTTACCACAGACCCCACCACTCCCTTTTGTCTTACACCTTCTCTCTTTGCTTATTTGTATTAACTACCTTCTCCCTGAAAGCATTAGATTCTGTGTCCCCTGATCCCTTTTTCCTCTGGGTAGTGGTTTCAGTTTGGAAGTAGATAGTTATCAATCTCAGGAGGGGTCATTTGATTTTTTTGTTTGTTTTATTTTTAAATCCCTAATCCCTAGTAACCTCATAGGAGATACCGCCAGCCCTTCAGAAGTCCCTCCTCTGCCCAGCATCCCTTTCCCACATTCACTCACACCCCATACCTACTTTTAGGGGATTTTTCCTGGTTTGATTGGCCATGGTTATTAGGATGGGGGAAAAAAGATAATATAAAACCCAGTCTGTGGCTCACTAATGGAATGCTCACTATTCCAATGGAGCAGCAGCTAGCGTGGGCTCTGGGCACCCCTCCAATGAGACGGCTGCCCTGTGGGAGCCGAGGGAGGAAGGCAGAGGCAGCCAATCCCACGATGTACCCCCTTCCAGGTGTTTGATGCCCGCGACTGTACCACGGCTCATGGGATGTTCAACTACATCTGTAACCACATCAAGTATGCCACCAACAAAGGGAACCTCAGGTGAGCCGACCGGCTTGGGGAAGGGGAGTCTAATGTCTCCATGGTGTTGACCCTTGGGTCTGGAGTTGGCTCACCTACCAGAGAAACATTTCCCCTCTTTTCTCGGGGACATATGCCAAGTTGGGAGAGGTGGCCCGGCATCCTTCTTCTAATTGCCAAGTGCCTTCTTTCTCCTGGGAGAAACAGACTCCGCCATGTGGTTTGCAAAACTATAGCAACCCAAATATATTCATCCCACAGTTCCATATCACCCATGGGGGAGGGCAGGGAGGGGTGTTTCAGATTCCCGGGAGTAGGAAAACCCCATTGCCAGGGATGACCTGCTTTTACCAGCTCATGCTCTGTTGCCTGGAGCTGCCTCTGAGGCCCCCTGGGTTTCCAGGGCAGTTTCTCTTCCTGCTGCTGGAGGGACCGTCCCTTCAGGTTCCACCAAGCCAAGCTACACCTGGGACTCCTCTTGCCTCCCACGAAGAATAAAGCCATAGGGAGTAAGCCAAGGCACGAAAGCGCCAACGTGGGCTGGTGGCTTCCACACTGGCGAGTCTCAGCTGGGAAAGGAGCAGCTGGAAGGGAACAGCTGAGGCCCTGCAGACAGGCGGAGACACTTGTTAATCCTGTTCCTTCATTCAGTCCTGCCCCAGCGTCTGTTTCCAGCTGCTGAGGACCAGCCCCATCTTGGGGCCGCACAGGACCACTGCAAGGATATTCCCACAAGCCTCTGCGCTACACTGAGCTCATCCCCAACGTGGCTTATTGGCATTAAGCATGGGTTTTCTTGGATGTGTCTCTTCCTCGGGAAGGAAATGGTATTTGCCAGCTGAGCCCACCAGCAGGAATAGAGCCTGTAATTTAAGCCCAGGGCCTGCTGGGAAAATTAGTACCCAGATCTTTTCCCTAAAAGACCTCACCCCTCAAAGAACAACAAAGAACCCTGAGCCTTAACGGAGGTCAAGGTCTTGGCCTCGAAGAGCTGGTGGACTGTTTTGGTAGTTTTCAAATGCTATGATGAGGTGATATGGGGGATTGCCCCAAGCGAGGCAGAACACCTCTATGTTTTTTCAATCTCTATTGTAGGGGAAGGAGGTCCTAAATTAGATCTTCTATGAATGAAAATATTCAGCTGATCTTTTTTTTTTTAGTAAGTTTTAACCCACATTGAGAGGCCGTAGGAGAAATGTGTAGCATGTATAGAAATAATCTAAACATAAGAGAGGAAGGCAAGCAAAGGAGATAAGGGAGAGGGAGAGAGATGGGATTTAAACGGCGCAGGGCATTTGACCCACGTAGCGTAAGCCTGTCTTATGTTTAGGAGACTTGGGAGGTGAGAGGACTTCTATGTCGTCCATCGGTCTCTTTCCCGCGCAGAGTAAGCAGCCCGCCCCACTGTGTGTGGCTCTGGTGCTTCTAAACATGCTTTTTAAATCTATTTAAACGAACACAAACACACTGTATCTGCCGCTCAACCAAAGAAACAGCCGTGTGTTTTAATGCTGGAGGGAAACGCCGACGGTTTGACTCATTCTGTGTTCATCTCCAATATGGCGCCTTTGCTAAGCGATTTTTAAGAATATCTTTGGCTCTTGGCGACTTTCACCTTCGGCCCGAGTTCTAGACTCACCCCCAAGGTGCAATGCCTCACTCCCTGAAGTATTAAATGAGATACTGTCTTGTGCGGACAGTAAGACCTAAATGTGCTCAAAAAGGGTGGCCCTGCCCTGGCAACTAAACAAGACCATGGATGCTGTGTGGAGAAAGCAAACTTGAGTCGGGCCTTGAATTTAGGTGCATGGCAGCAGAAAGGGACGCCAGCCAAGGGAGGCAGCAGGGCAGAGTTCCAGGGGCAGGATGTGTATGGGAGCAGATGTGAGCGATGGGTTGGACCTACAATGTCGCCCCCATGCTGACACAAGCCAGGATGTTGTTCCCACAGCCTGGGATTTGGTCCAGGGCTGGAACTGATGAGTTCAGGCGACTGGAGCTCCTGGCATGAGATAACATCGAACCATTTTGTGAAAAAGTTATTCTCCATCCTTCTGGTGGTGCCAAAGAGGAAGTCTCGGTTTGCTGTTGAGGTATCATTAACACCTCTTCAAACTGCTGAGCTCCCTTTTAGCAAAAAGAGAACAGGGCTCCAGCAAGCTGCCTTCTGCAGGCAACAACATCTTTCTACAATTTAATAACAGTACACGGTCTCACAGTTGCTTAATTTAGGTGGGCAAGGCCAGTGATGATTTCTGGTTTTCTTTCAAAGTAAATAAATATGAGTACAAATGGAAGTTGATTTCTTATCATTCATAAGTCTGTAGACTTCGGCGTGGTGCGGGAGGTGGGCAAACAGCGCGCTAAATAATGATGGTGGTAAGAGAAAAAGACCAGAACTGGGAATCAGTGATGAGTCTTGAAAAGAAATGGGGTCGGATGTTTTTCCCCTGGAGATTACGTGCTGCAAAAGAACTTTCTGGAAAACTGGCCCAAGTCAAGATTGTTTAAAAGTCTCCAGTTAAAGAAGCATTCTCTTTCCTTCAGTGAGCTGGCACAGGGCCTCCCATCCTCAACCAGGGGTCGAGTGGAGGGTCCATCAAGGCCCCTCCCCTTCCAAGAAAGGGAGAGAGGGAGAGAGGAGAGAGGGGGGCCCTGGGGACCTTGGGACAGATGTGATCCACCCGAGCTTTATGCATTCATTGGCCTGAGTGACACTTTTTCCATATGTCCTCAAAGTGCAAGCCCCGCCCTGATGCCCAGTGTCCTCCTCTCTCTGCCACAGATCTGCCATCACCATATTTCCCCAGAGGACTGACGGCAAGCACGACTTCCGAGTCTGGAACTCCCAGCTCATCCGCTACGCCGGCTACAAGCAGCCCGATGGCTCTGTCCTGGGGGATCCAGCCAATGTGGAGTTCACAGAGGTGTGTGCCCCCACCCCGCCCCAGCCTGGGCTCTCATCCCCCAAAACTGTCTTTATCCACAGACTTTTCTTAGTTTAACATTATCATCACAGGGAGAGTGGTCGGGGGAGGGGAGGTTTACTCATCTACAATGTCCTGCTCCATTTGTCTGCCTGCAGTCCCGCTGGCTCCATTACAGATGTTCATTTGGTCATTTTCATGCTATTACTTCGCCTGATACTCATGAAGAGGTCTATTGCCCCATTTCACAGATGAGTTGACTGAGTCTCATTATCCAATGCATTATCCAAGGCTACTGAAGTGGCAGAGGAAAAGCTAGAAGTATAGGCCAAATCTCTTGCCTCCCCTCTCTGGAAAGAGAGGAGCTGATATATAGAAGCTATGTCTGGCATTATCTTTTTTCAGTTGGGTTATGTCAGACTTATGCTATTCATTCATTCATTTATTTCTTTATACAACCGTCTAGCCACCCAGCCCCTCTCTGGCTTGACTCTCCAGCACGGCCCATTGCCAGCAGCCCGAGTCAATTCCTAAAGGCCACTAAGAGCACGAACACCACCCTCTCCTCATCCAGGCTTCCTTCCAGGTGGTGATGCAGACAGGTAGCACAGGTGGGGCCTGGAAGCTTCTGCCAGATATGCCCACAGGAGACACCACAGGCAGACCCCACGCCTGGCATGAGCTCAGGCACACAGGCCTGGCGCCTCTTTTATTTGTCACCCACTCAGCCGCCTGAGTTCTGCTTCATCTTCGTTCTTTCCCCAAACCCCCCTCAAACTCCACCCTGGTACCCTCCCTACAGGGGAGCCTGCCGAGGCCACGGGCTGCCCCGCACCCTCATCCCGGCTGACTTTGTTTGCAGTTGGCTTTTCCTATTAAAATATTATTATTGTGAGGAGGGGGCTGTAGCCAAAGTGACCAGGAGTCACACCTGTGCCGTTTTAGACTCAGCCAGACGCTGTGCTCCACTTGGCTGAGCGCTAACTGTACACTTGGCTGACCTTGTCCTTGTAGCCACTGGAACATAAACGCCACGGCCCCTTCCTCTCCTTCTGTCTCCAGAAAGCTCCCCAACATGGCACATTCTCCTAAACCCACGCTTCTGTGCTTCCTCTGTCTACTAACACAGCAGAGTCACCCCAGACATAAGCACACAGTTGTCACTTTTGAAACTACCTCACACTGTGCCGTCCAGGACGGCAGCCACTGGCCACCTGGCACTAGTGACCACTTGATACGGGCTAAGTCCAAATTGAGACATGTCGTCCATGTGAAATACACTGTCTCAGAGATAGAGAACAAAGAAAGAGTGGAAAAGATCTCGTTAATTATTTGTATCCTGATTACATACTGAGAAAACAATATTGTGGATGATACTGGGCTGATCTAGTTCTTACATTTATTAGTAAATTAATACACCTATTGTGTTAATAAATATCATTAATTTTCTGTTAAATATCTTTAAATAGATCAATATTAGTTTATTTAATAACATCATTAATAGGTTAATGATGTTATTTAATTCTGTTATATATTTTATACTTTTTATATTTTATTAGATTAATAAATATATTGCCTATTTAATTTTAATGTCAAATATAGTATTGATATATTTTATATTTCTTTAAAATATTTATATTTTATAATTTAGTATATTTATATATTTTATTTATATTAATACATTTTATAATATATGTCGATATTACTAATAGAGTGACATGTAATAATATTAATATATTGATATATTAATGCTTCATTTAATATAGTATTAATAAATTGCTATTAATATAATTAATATAGTGCTACAGTTAATAAGTATTTAATAATTAAATGTTAATAAATTTTATATTAATACATTTTATAATAATATATATTGATATTACTATTACTATATACTAATACAGTGATATGTAATAATATTATTAACATATTGGCATATCAATGCTTCATTTAATACAATACTAATAAATTGCTATTAATATAATTAATACACTGCTACAATTAATAAGTATTTAATAATTAAATATTAGTGAAATTAAAACATTGTTTAAATGAATGTATTATTTAAATTAGTTTCACCTGTTCTTTGCTTTTTTTTTTAATTTCTCAATATGGCTGCTAGAAAATTTTAAATTACTTATATGGCTGGCTTTATATTTCAGTAGGACAGTTGCTCTTAACAGATGCCTTTTATGCAGTAATTCCGATAGATCGTCCCTCGTCAACGGTAGATTTTCTTCAGGGCACCCAGTGCAAACACTTCCGGAGCAAGTGCACACGAGCAAGCGGAAGGGCGCTGCAGATGCAGCAGTCAGTTCAGTCCTCGCCCTGGGAGTTCCCAGTGGGCAGGGAAGACCCAGGAAACATAACCAAGTGAGGTGCTGGAGGACTGGTTTCCCTGCTGTCCCGAGGGACCACGAATAACCTGATGATATCAGGGAGGACTTCGTAAGGGAGGTGGCGTAGCCCAGTGCCTCCAGAGAGAGGAAGGGGCTGCTGGCGGGTTTGCACTGGGCCCTCTGCCCCTCCCCCACTGCTATTGCATCTGGAGGGCCTGGAGCATGCACGGGGGCCTGACCTGGCCGGTCTGGTTGCAGATCTGCATACAGCAGGGCTGGAAACCCCCAAGGAGCCGCTTTGATGTCCTGCCACTCCTGCTCCAGGCCAATGGCAACGACCCCGAGCTCTTCCAGATCCCTCCAGAGCTGGTGTTGGAAGTGCCCATCAGGCACCCCAAGTAAGAGGGACCCAAGTGGGGTGGGTGAGGGTGGGTGGTTTTACCCAGAGCCCCTCCCTGCCCAACTCTGGACCCCCTGGCTCGCTCTCCAGCCCAGAGGCTGAAAAGGGGGTCTTAGTTCTCATCCTCACTGTGGGTTCCTATTCTGTCCTCAAGAATGAATAACTCCACCTTCACCAGCCTGGGGACCACCATATTTTCTGAATCCAACTCCCCCTCCTCACCCTACTCCTGAGCAATTAGCCAGGACCTGCCGTTTTCCTAGCCCTGAGTAGTAGAAGAGCCGAAGCACCATTTTAGACGCCACGTGACTTGATATGGGTCAAGTTCAAAAGGAATTTGGAGCCAGGATGGGGCTTTGAGGGCGGGGGCCAGCAGCGCAAACAGAATGTACACTGTGGGGATGAAGGAAATCCACAGGGAGACCCTGGCCTCGGGGCCAAAATTGATGGGGGAAGCACCCAAAAAACTCAATCATCAAGACAAATAGTATTTCAATGTAATATTATAAAAAAATCAACCTTAACTTTTTTAATCCATGATGCATAATATATCAAAATTTTAAAGACCAGATCCAGTTCAGGGCCAAGATTAGGGGGAAGGAAGCAAGTGAGGAGGTGAGTCATTCAAGTGCAAGGTGGGATCCTGTCTTTATTTCAAGTTTTGGTATTTTGTTTGTCCTGGACTTTTTTTGATTTTTCTAAAAACATTGAATTAATTTTGAGTATTGTGTGAATAAATAAATAATAGTGTTGATCTTGATTACTGGGTTTGTTGGTTCCCCCCTTAAATTTTTCACCCAAGGCTAGTGACTTTCTTGCCTTACCCTAGTCCCAGCCCTGGAGAAGGAGCAAGTCTCTCCCTGGTGAAACTTGGCCTTCGTTGGTTCATTCATTCGTCAGCTCATTCAGTACTGTTTATTATTTCCTCTCTGGGCCAGGAGTTGTTCTAGTTTTTGCTGCTGACTTGGTCCCTGCCTCCACAGTGCTTTTCAATCTCAAGGAGAAGATCAATTACCCAAAGAACCACTTAATTCCAATAAAGTACTGTAAAATAAATTGTATAGTGCCTAGAGGCATAAAGCTGCCTGACCCAACCGAGACTGGGCATCAGGGAAGGCTTCCTAGAGGAAGCAGCATTATAACTAGGAGTGAAAATGTGAGTGAGAGCTGGATGGGCACAGAAGGAAAAAGAAGATCCCAAGGAGGAAGGAACTGCTGTGCAAATGTCCTGAGGTCAGGAAGAATGGCAGCAATATTTACTTTCTCCTGGATTCACCTTCAGGGTGGGTTTGAGGGATAAACAGCAGCCCAGGGTAGTGGTTCCCAGCCCTTGGTGTCCATCCAGATCACCTGGGAAATATGTTAAAGTGCATATTCTCAGGTCCCAGCTGTGGGAGCCGTGATCCCACAGGTCCGAAGTGAGCCCCTGGGTTCTGACACAGTAAGTCCCTGTCAGATGCTGACATTTGAGCATCCCCAGACTAAGGATATTCTGCCCCCACGTCTTCCCCTGAGGCTCCTGCCCCATGGTGAGCTGGGCTGTGTTGCTCTCCGCAGGCTTGAGTGGTTCAAGGACCTTGGGCTGAAGTGGTACGGCCTCCCTGCTGTGTCCAACATGCTTCTGGAGATCGGTGGCCTGGAGTTCAGCGCCTGTCCCTTCAGCGGCTGGTACATGGGCACGGAGATTGGTGTCCGCGACTACTGTGACAGCTCCCGATACAACATCCTGGAGGTGAAGTCCCTCCTTGGTCATCATGACGGGGGAGCACCAGGCAGAGCGGGGTGGGCTCAGTGGTCTTTCCCCACAGCTGAGCTTTGGGGCTTGGAAACCAGAAGAGGTTAAAACAGAACCTGCAGTTCTGGTAAAGCCACCTAGCCTTGCCGGAGGCTTCGTGGCATTAAGAGTACAGCCCTCTGTGCCCGGCACTACACCGAGCGCTTTGTGTGGATTACATGCTCATTTAATCCTCACCACGACCTCCAGGTGTGATAATCCCCCTTTCACAGATGAGGAAACTGAGTCCTTTTGGAGGAATGAAATGACAAGGTCAAGGTCACATAGCTAGCCAGCAGCAGAGCTGGGATGTGAACTCAGTCTGGCTTTCTGGTCCAAGTTCATAATAACCATACTGCTTCACCGCCTGTCAGGGTCAAACCTCGCTAGACGGTTTTGAGAATGACCCATGAACTTGCAACATTTTTGGTCTCTTTTCAAAAAAATAAGGGAGGAGGCTTGGCAGTGATTCCCCACCATATGCGTTTCTTGGTGGAGGGTTTGATTCCCTCCCAGGCTGAGTCATCCTCGTTTACCAAAGAGTGCTAGGGCGGACCACTCCCTGGAGCTCAACTTCAGTGAAAGCGTCAGGATTGCTGTGGCTCTGTCAGCAAATGTTGTTTCTAACAACAGCTTGCTGTGGTTGGCCTTGTTTCAAAAGGAGGCACTGAGAAACAGAGAAGTTAAGCGCTGCGCCTAAGTCACACAGTAAATAAAGTACAGGGCAAGATTTGAACTCAGAATCAAGCATTTGATTTTATATTGTTAAAAATCTGGGGGGACCTTGAGGACATTATACTAAGTAAGAAGTGTCACACAGAAAAAGACAAATACTATGTCATTTCACTTATATATGAAAACTAACAAAGTAGAGTGGGGGTTACCAGGGACCGGGGGGCAGAGGAACTAAGGAAGATGTTGTTTAAATGTACAGACTAGCAAGTAGTAGATAAATGAGTCCTGGAGATCTAATTCACAGCATAATGATTATAGTCAACAATAATACTGTGTTATAAATCCCAAAGTTGCTAAGAGACTGTATCTTAATTGTTCTCACTACAAAAAAGAAATGGTAATTACATGATGTGATTGAGATGTTAACTAACGCTAAGGTGGCAATCACACTGCAATACAAAAATGTATCAAACCAACACTCTGTACACCTTAAATTCCCACAATGTTACAAGTCAGTTTTACCTTAGTTAAAAAGAACTCCATGGGTGTTAGTTAGCCTGGAAAACAGAACCAGGGGTCCTCAGCCTTGCCACACATTAGAATTTCCTAGGGAGTTTTTTTATCATGCCCTGGGTCTCATTCCCCAGGATTCAGATGAAGTTGCTCCAGGGTGGAACCCAGATACCAGCACTTCTCAGAGCTCCTCAGAAGATTCTGCTGTGTAGCCAGTGATCGGTACAAACTTCTGGAAGGAAAGGAAAAGCTATTTCAGGCAATTTCTATAACTGTGGCTCAAGTCATATCTGGAGTGTTTAGAGCCATATATATTTTTTCCTGCAACTAATTTGTGTTCTTTTAACCAAAACAGTGCTATAAAAGTGATGATAGCAGCTTGACTGGCTGTACACACTCTCCCCTTTCATAAAATAACTCAAGTTTTATATATATATTTATGTAAAGCAGCACATTTCTTTTTCTCTGCGTTTGTGTCACTGCTAAAAGACCCCAAACAGAACCTAACGCCTCAGCCTCAAAAGAGTAAGTTGATAAGTCTGCATTCATGATCCCTGCTTGCATTTTGACTGCAAAAAGTAGTCACTGGGTTACTTAAATGAGACTCTCTCCCACCCCAGCCGTCCGATTCTAACTGCCATTATGTACAAATGTTGACAGCTGGGGCTGGGAGGCAATTTACCCAAACCTGAGAAATTGTCACACTGCAGCCCCGTAATGAGACCTAGGTTCCTGCAAGTGACTAGAATTGACAGAGGAAGTGAGAAGCCAGGCTCTAATTAATGAATTTGCTATTGAGTCTCCCCTACTCCTGACATCAGCTCCGGCTTCAGCTCCAGCTGTAACAGAAATGTCAAGAGTTGTTTTTGCCAAGTGGTTTTGCTGCAGGAGTCGGCTGGTGGGGGAGCCGCTCCCAGGTCTTGGGCATTACGCATCTACCTGGGCTCCAGCCCCGAGGCCAGCTGACTCTGTGGACTGTGAGCAAGTCTGTGCCCCTCTCTGAGCCTCAGTTTCCTCATCTGTCAGATGGAGGAGGCAGGTGTCCACATGAGCTCAAAATACCCATCCATGATCTGGATTCCAACAGTGGCCATTCCAGAGATAGAACAGGATAGGTGGAGAGCTCTTCCTACTAGAACACAGACGATGTCACTCCCCAGACCAGCATTTTTCCTTAAAACCCTCCAAAGTCCCTCCTCATCATATTTGGAATAGATTGCTGACTTCTTTACACATCCTTCAACATCCTGCATGATCCGGTCCTGCCTCTTTCTCTCTCTGTCTCACCAATTCCCCCTGGCTCCCAACCCTCCAAATACACTGGCCTTTTTCCTGTATCTCAGAGGGCGCAAGTCTGATCCCACCCCCAGGGTCTTTGCACATGCTGTTCTCTCTGCCTAGAACATCCCCTCCCAGGATTTGCAAATGTCTTGCTTCTTCCCATCATTTGGGTCTCACCTGTATGCACCTTCACAGGGGGCCTTCCCTGACTATCCTGGTTCAGTTCATCCTGCCCGCATCTCTCTCTTCATCCCATTTCCTTGCCTTATTTTCTTCCTAGGAATTCACCCTCATCACAATATTAAGTGTCTCTCTCCCCCACTAGAAGGTAAGCTCAATAATCAAAGACCAGCGAAGTCCCTCTAGTGTCCTGCCACCAGCAGCTCCTCAATAAAAAAATTTCTGAGTGAGTGAGTGAATTAGGCTGCATATGGGTTGATAATTAATTAAGAATTTCATTAGTGACACTAGTCCTGTCCCTCTTTGGTCTGACATCCAGAGGTGCCCCAGCCTGTGAGCCTGTGTTTCCTTCCCCTTTCAGGAAGTGGCCAAGAAGATGAACTTGGATATGAGAAAGACATCCTCCCTATGGAAGGACCAGGCGCTGGTGGAGATCAACATTGCAGTTCTGTACAGCTTCCAGGTAGCACCTGGGCACACCTTCTGGCTGCCAAGCCTCAGTGGGGAACTAAAACCTTTCAGAGCCTCGGGGCAGAAGGCCATAAGCCCAGCTAGCAGGAACCGTCTTTGCAGGGACCTGTCCACCAGCGAGGTCTCCTTCCCATCACACATGCCTTTCTCACGATGGATCTTGGATGGGGACCATTTGAGGACAAGAAGAATACACAGGGGCTTTGTGACTTATTGCTCATGATTTTTTAGAATTGAGATGGTAAACATCGTCTATGTCTTGCCACCTCTTAAACACTCAGACTTTTACATAGCAGCGATAAATACTCATCTTCATCAGAAGTGTATAGCCCCTTCGCCCCCGCCAATGCACGTGGCTTCCAGGCAGAGGCTATTATATATAGTATGATGGCTTTAAAAATTATCAGCTAAACTGTGACACTTTGGAGAACAACAGGGGGGCCACCAGTAATAATTGTGACACTATACGTGCACAAGCTGGGATTCTCCTGGGCAAACCAGGAGACCCCATAGGACAGAGGTCACTGTCTAGAGTAGAGACGAGCTCTGGGGGTGACACTCTGGGAAGCCAGACCCTCATAGACATTCTTGGAAGGCATGCACAGAGAGCTGAATGAACATACCAAGTTATGTATAGACATGAATATAAACCATAAGTCCCCATGTCAGGAGCAGGGACCCTGGGTATCCTGAGGACTGTATATCCCAGGGAAGGGACCAGTTGGGATGGGGTGAGCGGGAAGGAAGCCCCCTCCTTTCCCCCTCGACCACGGAGGAGTGAAGTCCTGGGAGTTGTTGAAAATGATGGAGTGTGGTTTGAAGGACAGACTGACGAGCCAGAGACAGCAGAGATGTGAGTGAGATGAATGACTGAAAAAGAAAAGTGCAGGAACAGGGGCAAAGTTTTGTGGGCAGAGAGAGGAAACACTGCCCGGGTAAGGTAGGCCTCCAAGCCAGCCAGTCGCATGGGGCCCTGGGGCTGGGTTACCCAGATGTTCAGTCCACCCATCTCTGCCGAGATTGACTTGTTTTCCTTTTGATAAACTCATCCTTATTACTTAAAAATTTTTAAGAGGATTTTGTATGACCAGCATAAATGGAGAGCCAGTATCATTTACCGTAAATGGAAGAGAATTTTAAATTTAAATAAATACAATACACATGAGGAAAACAACACAAAGTTGTTAGATTCTAGTTGCCTGAGGTTTCTCTCTCATTAAAAAAGAAAAAAAGGAGTTGGGGAAACGGAGAGAGGAAGACTGGTAAGAGAGAAGTTAAAGGTGAATTCATGCCACATGGGGATTTCTCCTGGGTGTAATCAGAATTGAACATACAACACAGAGAATCACTTGACACTTTTTACCTAAAATCATCTCCAGAACCACCCTTTGGGAAACACTGCTGTATGTGTGAAGGAGTCCCAGAACCCCAAAAACCCCAGCTTCTCCTACTTTCTGACTCCTTGTCCCCTCTCCTCCCGCAGAGTGACAAAGTGACCATCGTGGACCACCACTCGGCCACCGAGTCCTTCATTAAGCACATGGAGAATGAGTACCGCTGCCGGGGGGGCTGCCCCGCCGACTGGGTGTGGATCGTGCCCCCCATGTCTGGCAGCATCACCCCCGTCTTCCACCAGGAGATGCTCAACTACCGGCTCACCCCCTCCTTCGAATACCAGGTCCTGCCCCCTCCCCGCCTCTTTCATGCTAGGTCTTCCATAGCCCGTGTGTGCATTATGCTTAGAGCACATCTCAGTTCAAATTAGCATCTTGGACACATAAGTGTGGCCTCCATACTGGACAGCACCGCTTGAGCTGAAAGACCAGTGGAGACAAAATGAGTAGTCTGGGGTCACAAGGAGAGGGTTTGAGCAGATCTCAGGGCTGAGTGTGAAGGTCTAGCTGGACGAGGCAGAGATGCTGGACCAGCCGCTCTGTGCCAGGCCCCCTGTGGTCACCACTGGCAGAATCACTCCCTTCAAGGGCTAAAGGTTGGGCATGGCTGGGCAGCCACAAGCCCCTGGGGATTCCTGAGCATCTCCCAAGCAGAGCCAGTGTCCCTCACTGGAGTGACCATAGTCCTCTCTTCCCAGCCTGACCCTTGGAACACCCATGTCTGGAAAGGTACCAACGGGACCCCCACAAAGCGGCGAGCCATCGGCTTCAAGAAGCTGGCAGAGTAAGTCTCCTAAAGCAGGTGGTGATGGGGAGTGAGCATGCCCCAGAATTCAGAGAGCCCCAGAAAGGGAGGCTGGGAAGATGCTTGTGCCTCTGACCTTTCGTGTGATGTAATTTCTTCACTTTCTCCAACCCCCTCGTGCCTTCTTTGTCTCAGAGTCTGGGACATGAACATTGCCACATCTCTCCTCCTTCCCAACCTCACTTCCTCACCCCAGATTCCTAAATTCTTGTCCTAGAGTCAGTGTTGTGTTGGTAAACCAGCTCCCCTAATAATAGTGATGGCCATAGTGATAATAATAGATTTGTAACATTTGGCCATTTTCATGGTGTGAATGCTCCCACTAAGGCCAGTTTCCAGCTCCCAATGGGAAGTCACTGAACCCAGAGTAGGGAGGAGCTGGGATGAACTGGTGCCAGCACACCCCTGCCTAGGGAGAGCTCTCGCCCAGGGCTGAACTCTCATTTCACTTATTCATTCATTCATTCATTTGGCCAATAAGTAGATACTAAATGCCTGCTCGGTGCCGGGCGCTGTGCTGGGCTCTGGGGCTGCCATAATGAGCCAGATCGTGTGGTCCCCGCCCTCACGGAGCTCATAGCCATTCATTTGTCAAAGAGGCACACAAATGCAGTAAGCATTGCGAGTACCATCAAGGACTGATTCCATTTGATGGAATGGCTCCATCAAAGAGACTTCACCAAGTTTGGGAGGTCAGAGGGGGCTTCCTTCTGGAGATGATAGTTGAGCTGAAGAATGAAACGAACAAGACGTCCCTGAGCAAAGGAGGGAGGGAAGAGGGTTATGGACGAATACTCAAGAGTAATTGTCCAGAAGAACACATGGCCAGCCAGGGCACCGGCTGACAGGTAGGGTGTAGCTGACTGAGATGGTTTCATGGGGATGCCAGCCTTCTCTCTAAAGATAGAGAACTCCCCTGATCCACCTGGCAGAGACCCTCTACTTGGAGCTAACTTCCTGGCAGAGGAGCTAGGTATGTACCGAGCTACTGACTCACTTTCCTTAGCTTCTGTGGTTCAGAACTCTCTACATATGGTACCTCGTTGTACCATGGGTGCTATCCATGCCATGGACCCCCGAAGTGAGACACTGCTCGTCTTGCAGAGACTGAAACCTAGGTCCTGGCTCCACTAATATGGCCCACGAGATCTCTCCCTCTGTCTTCCCTGTCCTTCTCCTTCCACCTAACTTTGTCTTCCAGCCAAGGAAGAGTACATCAGCCGCCCTTCTTCCCACAACAAGAGCATCACGAATATTCTCAGGGATGGCAGCCTTTGGCTCCAGTTCAGTTCAGATGTTTCCAAGGGAAAAAGGGAGGGAGAAATCTAAAGCGTTAATTGCACTATTAAGTTTGGGGTAGAAACAGTGGGAGTTAATTTTAGGTACTTTTTTATGCTCCGATCATTCAGAGGGAACCCTCCAGGCACCTTTTATTCTTTTCTGTTTCTCCCCTCTTAGCTCTGGCAGCGTGGGTGGTTTCCCTGATTCTAAGACGTGAAGAATTTACCACCAATAATCCGCAGGTGGGGGTAATTAGCAATTTGCCTGCTCTGAGATTCCTGGTTAGAATAGGGATGCTTGATCGGAAGGTGAGCCCAGGCATTCCTGAGCCTCTGGCCTGCCTGCCTTCCCCATGCCCTCGTAGATGGTTTTGAATTCTCCATTTAAATGGAAAGAGCATAGACTTGCCCCTTAAACTCTCCAGGGCTTTGGTGGTAGCAGCATTGAAATCCATTCCTCCTTTTGATGGATACGTATTTAGTGCCAATTAAGCATCAGGCTCTGCAAGACCCTGGACATGCATGGCTGATCCACCCAGACCTGGTCCTTCCTTTGTGGATTTATAAATATCTAAAATTCCTTCTAATCTGGTGATTTATTAGTGATTCGTTCCTCTCACTCTCTCTCACTCTCACTCTCTCTCTCACACACATATACACACATACACACAAACACACACGAATGTAAGCCCCATGACAGCCATTTCTCTGTGTTTTTCGGTCCCTATAACAATTCCTGGCACATAGTTAGGCACTCAATAAACATTTGGTGAAAGAATGGTCATCTTTCCGGCAATGCTTGGCGAACCAATATTCTCGAGAATGAGAGCAATCAGTCAAGTAACCAACAAGGCTAACCAACCATGTTAGCTCATGACCAGTTGCTCTGGAGGGACTTATAAAGGGATAAATACGGCACCTACACTTGGGCTTTGAGTGTCCCTGAAGCCACCCGAGATTAGGAGAGTAAGTTCCCTCCTGTTTATGTTTCATGGATCATGGTTCTTGCCCCAAAGTCCCAGCCTGGCATCCTCCCTCCTTTCCACATTTCCCATTTTTCTTTCCATCCTCTCCCCCGCCGCAGAGCTGTCAAGTTCTCAGCCAAGCTGATGGGGCAGGCAATGGCCAAGAGGGTCAAGGCTACCATCCTTTATGCCACAGAGACGGGCAAATCGCAGGCTTATGCCAAAACCTTGTGTGAGATCTTCAAACATGCCTTCGATGCCAAGGTGGGTAGGGGGCAGGGCCAGCTGTCCAGCCCCTCCTGGTAAATGAAGTTGGGAAGGGGAGAGAGGGAAGTTAGCAGAGAAGCACCCCTTGAGAATGGGTGAAGGCACATCTGAAGATGCCCATCAGCCCAGTCACACACATCTGCTTATATTTCAGGGGACTCTGATGCTTCTCTCCCTGAGAACCCTCTAGGAGTCCAGGAATCCCCACCCTCATCTCTAGAGCAAAATGTTAGAGAGTTTATGAAAAACAATTCTGGAGTCAGTTTGGGAAGCTCAGCATTTAATACAGTTAAGTGGCTTTATTTGCTGCAGGACTTCTCAGAGCCTTTAATCTGCAAGTATGGGTTATCATCTCCAAAAGAGGAGAGGAGAGAATGGAAATGTTTCCCAAATATGTTTGCTTTTGGCTCACTTATTTTCAAGGAGCATCTTTGAAGACCAGGCTTCCCTAGAACCTACTTTGAGAAATGTTGCTCAAGTAACACTAAGATACTGGGTAACAAACTTTCCCAAAGGTAGATATCTCTGACGTTTTTGGCCCAGGTCCTCCATACAGTTGGAGGGAGGATTAAAAAGGAAGCTGAGCAGATAATTGGTCAGATCCAGCTGGGTCATTCCCAGCCTAAAGGTGGTCAAGAAGACTCCAGCATCAGTTGGTTGTAAGGAGTCCCAATCAAGATCTGTCTTTACTGGCAGCCAACCCATTGCCCCAGACTCTCTGTGGTCCTGCAGACCACAGTGAGCACAGGAAGGTTCCATGTTACTAAAAAGCTTTTCATTCTACCCACTTGAGTCCATTGAAATAGTGGCACTCAGAAATTTGGTTCTTATGAAGGAGATGGCCCATGAAGACCCATCGATTTTTCCTCTCTCCTCTCCCCCCACCACTTTGTTCCCTCCCACCCTTGCTCACTCTCCATCACTTTCTCCCCTCCTCTCCCCACATCATTCTCCCACCTAGGTGATGTCCATGGAAGAATATGACATTGTGCACCTGGAACATGAAACTCTGGTCCTGGTGGTTACCAGCACCTTTGGCAATGGAGACCCCCCTGAGAACGGGGAGGTGAGATGAGCTTTCTCCTGTTCTAGCATGTGTTTCCATGAGCAGGAAGGAGGGGCAGCAGTTACATCTGCTATTCAGCAGCAAATCCTCCCAGAACCTCAGAGCCAGTGATCTCGATTTGGATTCAAGTTCTGCAAAGATTGGACAATTCCAAGTCCTCAGTCTGTTGGTGTCCACTGACTAGCTGATCCCTAGTGAAAATATTTTCACCTGAGTGAGCTAGTTCTTTCGAATGGATGCTCCAATCAAGAGCTTGGGGTCCTCTGCTCCAGATGAGAGAAGTGGGGACAATATTTTTGTAAAAAGCCACAAAAGGGATTCATGTGCTGGGGGTGGTGGGGGCAGTCCACACCTCTGTAGCCCTTTGTAAACAACCCTGCTCCACGTGCACCTGCAGCATGGCTGCCCAGCCCGAGCCCCTGACCATCTCTGACACCCTGGCCCCCAGGTATCAGGCTCCTCGTTTGCCAGTCAGGACCCCAGACCCTCAGTGCCCAACCTTGTTCCAGATTTAATCATACATGCCTCACATTTTGTTCATCTCTTTCAACCTCCAGAAGTTCGGCTGCGCTTTGATGGAAATGAGGCACCCCAACTCTGTGCACGAGGAAAGGAAGTAAGTGAATGACCTGCCAGTGTCACATGACAGCCCATGGGGTAACTGAAACTTGTCTTTTGGCATCTGGGGTTCACATCTGAGTTCTGGATGGTTTTGAGACCTAAAGTCCATTTGTAACCGCTTTTTAGTTGGTAGGTGTCTGTGGTCCACTGGGGTGGAGATTGTGGTCCCTTTGGTCACTTCACAGCTCTGTGCTTCAGTTTCTTTTTCCATCAAATTGGGTTTATTATCCCTGCTTGAAGTGTCTAACCTGTACGTATCAAACTAGAAAACAGACGTCAGCATCCTGTGAAAAGTTATGAGTGCTGTGTAAATACCAGTTCCTACTATCTCTGCCCTTTGGAAACCTACATGCAGAATCCGTGCGGTTCTTTCCCTGGAACATTTCCCCCTGACGTTAGTGGAGTTGCATTCACTAACGTGGAGGTTGACTCGAAAAGATAAGATATCTCATAAGATGAAACGTGCCTGAGGTCAAAAGCTGTTGCTGGTGAAACTGCATCTAACATGGGATTGGAGTCTAAAGATACTTCATCAGGTGACAAACACCCATAATCAAAATTACCCTTGAAAAGACCTTAAATCCCCCCAAATAGAGAACAGATGGCCTGTGCAGACAGAGCTGCCTTTCTGTGAGATCAACATCGTGTTTCCTCCAACGTTGAGCCGGTGTTAAGTTGAACATCACATGCCGTCGCTGACTGGTGTTTAGAGGCTGCGTTCTGCAGAAAATCCCTCCTGGTTTTCTTTCAGCCAAGCCCATGTTGCCAAACTTGCATACATTCCATATCCAGGGGACAGCTGAGTTCCTTGTGTTCAGCCCTCATTCCGTGCCCAATGCCAGCATCTTAGTCCTCACTCTCCCTGCCTCTCTCCTTCCCACCCCATCTGGTTGGTCTTCAGCAGGTCCTCCTCACCCCTCCTCCAGGGAGAGATAGGGCACCATCAATTCTCCCCTCTAGGTACCCGGAACCCTTGCGTTTCTTTCCCCGTAAAGGGCCTCCCCTTCCCCGAGGTGACAGAGAAGTCCACGGTCTGGCTGCAGCCCGTGACAGCCAGCACAGGTAGAGCGCGTCTGTGCGCGTGTGTGCGCATGCGTGTGTGCATGTGCGTGCATGCAAATATGCGCTCGTGTATGCCTTGTGTTCGTGCGTGAGGAGTGCGTGTGTGCGCATGCGTGCCTGTCAAGGTGTAGCTGTGTGCGCATGCTCGGTGCTGCAGCAGCCAAGACCGCATCCGGGTCTCAAGGAGACCAGCGTTCTACCCTAGGCTGTGCCACTAACTGGCTGAGTAACCTTGCGTAAGTCGCTTGACCTCTCTGGGCCTCCGTCTTTCTCATCCACCAAATGGGAAGAAACTATCTGCCCTGACCACTTCTGCGAGCTGCTGCCAGGATCAAAGAATAATAACAAAAAAACAACGCATTTGGAAAAACCTCCAACCTCATACAAATACATGTGCCGTTATTTTTACCCCACAACCATCAACCACCCCTCCCACACTAACAACACAGCCACCCCCTGATGTGTTACAGGCTTATTTGGAGAAGTGACTCAATGTGAGACTATTTTAGGGCAGAAAATACACTTAAATATATTTAGAACTTTCCTGATGCTAGAGCATCAACTTTGAAGAACATCCAGCTTAGAAACCCTGCTGCCAGAATGCGCAATTTCTTTTTTTGTCTTTTGCATTCAGATTGGTGTGTTGTTTTTTTTTGTGTGTGTTTTGTTTTGGTTTTTGATTTGGGGGCTTTGTAGGGGTTTTTGTTTGGGGTTTGTTGGGGGGTTGGTCTTAGAGGGTTTTTTGGTTTGGTTTGGTTTGGTTTTTGTCTTATCTAAGAATAAAACTTACCACTTTTAGAGGAAAACTGGGAAACCATTTTTGGTTTTGTTTTTTTAAATCTTGAAGATCCTGAGCCTCTAATGCTGAGGTCTGAGTCCTAGTGACATCTTTTCTTCCTCTTCAAAACAATTTAATAAGAAATCCAATTTCTTTTCAGGTTATGTGTCAGTGCTGAAGATTTTTCATGTTTACTTGAAATGTGAAACATGAGAGACCCTTGAAATGTCTAAAGACCGTAACTTTATTGAAAGAGACTACCGTAGTGGTTACCAGTGGGGAGAGGGAAAGGGGAGGGGCACTACAGGGGCAGGGAGTTAAGAGGTACAAATTATTATGTATAAAATAAGCTACAATTTTATATTGTACAACACAGAATATGGTCAATATTCTATAATAACTGTAAGTGAAGGATAACCTTTAAAAATTCTGAATCACTATAGTATACACCTGTAACATATTATGTCATACATCAACTATACTTCAATTTTCAAAAAAAGGAAAAAATTTTTAAAAAGAGAACGTTGAATGGGGCAGTCTTGCACCATCCAATAAACCTTTCTACGAGCATATAAATGAACTATACCTGTACCACCCTGTACGGCAGTTCCTAGCCCCACGTGGCTGTTGAGTACTTGACATGGGGCTAGTATCAGTGGGGAGCAGAATTTTTCATTGTATTCAATTTGAAAGAATTTAAATTTAAATAGCCACATGTGGCCAATGGCCACTGCGAACAGCATAAGTGTAGTTCCTGGCTACTCAGTGTGCCGTGTGGAAACCAGTAGCATCAGCATCTCCTGGGAACTTGTTGGAAATGCAGCATCTCAAGCCCCACCCTGTTCCCATCTGACTCAGGATCTGCATCTTAACAAGATCCCCGCATGTCTCCCATACCCATTAAAATTTGGGAAGGAAGGAAATGTGGTCTGATGGGTTAAGGTGTGATCTGTTCTTCCTGAGTCAGATGTGGTCAGAAATCTTTTAAATACAGGTAGCTTCAAATGCAGATTCTGGAGGGCGAGGGTGCGTTGATACGTTCCAGACAACGCCATAGGTGTGCTGTGGTCTCACTCAACACTCAAGGAATGGTCCTAGAACCAGGGCTCGTAATTTGGAAAGCCAGTGGGGTATTGACCCCAGGAGGGGGCTGCAAGCCAGAGCTCACAGACTCTCTTTTATTTTGGCAGGAGCTACAAGGTCCGGTTCAATAGTGTTTCCTCATACTCAGATTCCCGCAAATCATCAGGCGACGGGCCAGACCTCAGAGACAACTTTGAGAGTGCCGGGCCCCTGGCAAATGTGAGGTGAGCGAGAGACCCAGGACGTTGGGGGTGATGAAGGTTCTTGGGAAACTGGACTTAGTTGCAAAGTGGGTTCTTTGTCGGGGGAAGGGAGGTCTCCCTTCCATGTCGTTTTGTCCCTCACATAACCAGTTGCACTCTGGCTATTTGGGGACACCCCTCCCACTAAAGCACACTACCTGGACCCTGCCTGTTATCTCTTTCTGTACACACTCCTTCAGAGCCCCCATCACCCAGGTTTCACCCCATCACATCAGTTTCACATCAGTTATGCTGAAGGATATTACTCAGTGAGCTCCCTTCCTAATAGAAGCTTTAATAGAAGCTTCGGAGATACCTGCTATGTCCCAGTGGTTCCTAACCTTGGAAGCTCATCAAGATGACCTGGAGAGGTTTACAAAATACAGATAACCAAGCCCCACCTCCAGAGATTCTGACGTAATTGGTCTAGAATTGGTCCCAAGCATTGCTTTTTTTTTTGTCTCCCTAATTGACTCCAGTGCGCAGATTCAAAAAATACTGTCCTGACACAACATTGTAAAATGACTATAACTCAGTAAAAAAAATGCTGTCCTAACTCCATGCTTCCCAAAGCATAGTCACATCCCATGAGAGCATTTTAGATAATACATGGACAGATTTTTCATATCTCAGTGGTTGTGTGTTCAGTTTAATGGGTATTTGGAAAGAGAGAAAACTAAATATCAAACCCTTGGTTTCACAGATCTTGGTGAAGTTGAAGCTGATGTAAGCTCAGGCCTGGCCACCAATTTCTTAGACCTTTACTCATTGAAACTTCCCCTCGCATGCTCAGGGCAGCACTTAATAAATGATACAAATCACAGAGTTCCTGGATATTGAAGTGTTGTGTCCATCGGTACACTTTTCAATAGACCTTATTTTTTTAGATTTGCAGCAAAATTGAGGGGAAGATACAGAGATTTCCCATATATTCCCTGCCCACCCCCAACACACACACACAGGCTCCTTCATTATCAACGTCCCCCCAACAGTGCTACATTTATACAGTCGACAAACCTACATCGACACATTATCACCCAGGGTCCATAGTTTACATTAGAGTTCACCCTTGGTATTGTACGTTCTGTGGGTTCTGACATCAGTTCATTTTTTCCAGCTTGACATTGAAACATCCGTGGTTTGACAGTCAGGCCCATTTTTCCCTTATTAAATCTCTCATGGCTTAGAGCAGGGGTTGACAAACTACAGCCCATGGGCCAAATCCAGCCTGGCCTGGGTGTATTCTTGTACAACTGGTGAGCTTAGAATGGCTTTTACAGATGGACATTTGCAATTCGTTTGATGACAGAAAATATTATCTTTGGACCTCAGTGAAGCAAAATGCTATCCCCCCACCAAAAAATTCCATTCTTCGCATTAGTGGACATATATAACTCAGTCTTTATAATTGTACTCAATAACTATTATTATTATCGTACTTTAAATTTTGTCCAAAAATGTGTAGGAATATATTTTCTTCCTTGATACAAGAGTATCTATGTAATAGCTTCGATTTTGCTTCTTGGCCTACAAGCCTGAAAATATTTACTGTCTGGCCCTGTAAATAAGTTTGCCAGCTTCTGGTTTGGAAGCTTAAAATAGGAATTTTGAAATCATCAGGTGAAGATGGTGATGGAAATGTGAGTCTAGGAAGAGACTGTGACACAGGCCTTCGGGTGCCTCGGAAAACGTATTAATGAATTAATCATCTGGACCATCTGTTAGTGAACACCAGTGGGTTTGACTAGCTAGTGAGTACAAAATAAAAGCAAATTAAACAGCGCTATTCAGTAGATAACAGTGTCAGTGGTGGTCAAATGTCATCAATATTGGAGGTTTGGGGAACAACGCCTTAACCACAAGGCATGACTAGTGCCAAGAGTTTCCAAATCTGTGTTAGGCTGGAGGGGAGGGTGGGGGCCAGAAACGCTGCTCCTGGCGTCTTCCAGCCAGTCCACTCCTGGCCACCGGCCCTCTCCACCTGCCAGGCCACTGCCCTGAGAGGAAAGGTGAGGACTCTACCTAATGGAGGATCACAGGGGATGGGGAAACATGCTGCCTAATCCCACATCCTTCCCTTGGAAAGGCTCTGGAACCCCAGGGAAGGAAGGGCAGGAAAGGAGAGGAGAATGAGGTGAGAAAGCGTGAGTATGAGTTTGAAAGAGTAGATATTAACCTGTGTTGACTTTCACGTGATCTCTGAGACCCCTGGACCCCATCTGAGATTCATTGTCCAATAACAGAGTCCCTCCCCAACTTCCCCCACTCCTTCCCTCATCCCCCATCACAATCTTTGACCACCATGCTAAAAAAGAGAATCTAGGGCAGAGCCAGACCCTGTGTGGACTGAGTTAAACAGTTGCCCTCCTTGGCTTGTCTGAAATGACAGTCTGCCACCGGACATTCCAGCCTGGGGAAGAAGTCAGTCAGGGGGCCTGGTGTCCCACTTGTCAACCTCTCGATCCAGTCCCAGTGAGGTGAAGACCCACAGCCAGGACCACGACTGAGGGGCCCCTGGGCCCCAGCCCTTCACTTCTCAGACTTCAGCCAAAGCAGCCCCTCCCTGACATACAGGAAAACCTCATTAACTTGACCCCCATCGATTCAAACACCAACGTTTTCTAGTGGTATCTATGCGAAGAGGGTTTGTGAAGCAACTCAATTTCACAGGCATTGCAAAGGGGTAGAACCAGCATATGTATAAGTCTTTCAGTCCCTTCTAGAAGAAGCTGTTTACCCACCAACGTTGGAAGTGTTAGTGACAAGTCCTTCTGAGCTCCTCGTTCATACAGGACCTGGAGAACTGCTGCACTGGAGTCTTCATTGTCTTTGCACTTAAAACTAATCTAGTTGTATTATCAGTAGAGTTCAAGTTTTCCAGTAATAGAGACTCTTATCCCCAATTAGTCCAGCTTAGAAAGGGACACACAAGAAACACTTCTGGGTCACCATGGTCCCCAGCTCACCCTCCTAAGGATCACCTGGGCCTTGTCTCCCAAGGACCGTGGTGCTTAGCAGAGACCAGAAGGAAGAGCACGCAGGGCTCGGGGGCTCCCAGACTTAACAGTGGCCTTCCCCGGATGGGCTTGGCGTTGTCTTACCACCAAGGGCTACACGCTGTCCTTCTGGAGATACCAGATGTCTCTGTGTGCTCAGGCAGCCATCACAAAATACCACAGACGCGGGGGCTTCAACAACAGTTTATTTTCTCACAGCTCTGGAGGCTGGAAGCCCTCGATCGAGGTGTCAGTGGGGTTGGTTTGTTTATGGTGAGGCCTCTCTCCCTGGCTTGCAGACAACTGCCTTCTCACTGTGTCCTCACATGGTTTATTCTGCGTGTGCAGACAAATCGAGAGCTGTCTGGTGTCTCTCTCTCTTCTTAGAAGGACACCGGTCCTATTGGATTAGGGCCCCACCCTTGTGACCTCGATTGACCTCAGTTACCTCCTTAAAGGTCCCATCTCCAAATACGGTCACATTGTGGGTGGGTAGGACTTCAACATATGGATTTGAGGGGGCATAATGACTGTTATGTCCATAACACCAGACACCCCCACGTCTCCCTGGTCTGCTGGCATGGACCTTCTCTTGTCTCCTTGGCAGGTTCTCTGTGTTCGGCCTTGGCTCACGGGCATACCCTCATTTCTGCGCCTTTGGACACGCCGTGGACACCCTCCTGGAAGAGCTGGGGGGAGAGAGGATCCTGAAGATGAGGGAGGGGGATGAGCTCTGTGGGCAGGAAGAGGCTTTCAGGACCTGGGCCAAGAAGGTCTTCAAGGTAACCGTCCACCCAGATCTTAGAGACCCAGGGCAGAAGTCATGACCCCCAAGGACCACCCCCCAAGACAGGGTACCTAAACCATCAGAGGCAGAAGAAACTAGAGAGCTCTTGGTACTTCTCTCATGTCTCCAACCAGGAGATAGCTTTAAACAACTCAGATAAGGTGGCGTGGTCTTAAGATATTCTCTACCCAGAATCCAGCCTCCTGCACTATGGGTAAGGAATTGGTCTATAAAAACATAGAGTCTTGGAATTTGGGGACTGGGAGGAATCCACCCCTCACTCACATTTGGTAGACAGGTAAACACAAAACATAGACTTGGTTAATGAAGCCAGGGGCCATGCCAGGGGCTGGATCTCAGATCTCACCAGTTTTGTCTGCCTTGACAATCTTAATTGTTACATGTGGCTATTTAAATTTCAATGTAAACTAATGGACGTTAAATATGATGAATGGATAAATAAAGTATGTGTGTCCACATGACGGAATATTATTTAGCCATAAAAAGGAAGGGAGTGCTGATACCTGCTACAAGGATGAACCTTGAAAACGTTGTGCCAAGCGAAAGAAACCAGACACAGAAGGAAACTTAACTGTATGATCCCATTGCACAAAATGTCCAGAATAGGCAGATCTGTAGAGACAGAAGGTAGATTAGTGGTTGCCAGGGGTTCAGGCAAGTGACTGCTAATGTGTGTAGGTTATAGGGTTTCTTCTAGGAGGATGGAAATGTTCTGAAACTGGATAGTGATGGTGGTTGCACAACCTTGTAAATAACATATCTGTATAATATTTAATATATATATATATATATCTTGTATGTAGTTATATATGTATATATAGCAACATATATATAATTTAACATATATTAACACATATATACAACATATATTATTTAAAATATGTAATGTGTGTATATATACTGTATGTATTTATATATAAAATGTTATTATATATAACATAATTAACATAAAGCATTAATTTATATATATAAAATGTATGTAGTTATATACCTAATGTATTATAATGTTATATAATTATATATATAATGTTATATATAACAACATTATGTAACTACATACTTTTTTTATATATATGGGTGTGTATATGTGTATATATATATATATATGTTTATATATATATATATAAATTAAATATAATTTAAAATTCCACTCCTCACCTGCATGAGCCACATATGCTCAGTAACCACTAGTGGCTAGGAGTTACCATATTAGACAATTAGAACATTTCTGTCATGATAGGACATCCTATTGGATGGCGCTGTTCTAGAGATGAGGTCACGGGGGAATAAATGAATAATGGCCTTCTGTATGCATGTGGGGCGTGATGCCATTGGCCATCCTGGGAAAAACAAGAAAGCAGTGAATGTGGACCCACATGTCCCTGCCCCTTCCTTAGCCCCAGGGTGCAGTGTCATCAGCAACACAAGAGAAAGGGCACTCCCCAACCTTCTGTCATCCAGTTGACACTCTTCATCCAGACAAAGAGAGCAAAAGGGGAGACTGAGGCCCCTGAGCAATAAGGATATGTATTTGGGGAGACTGTGTCAATAAGCCTGTTCCTGAATTTCTTCCTAGATGAGGAGAGTCAAGATAACCTGGCTGTTTTAATACCTGAGATAACTGTGTGGTTCTTGACTTCAATCAGTCAACTTTGAGTGTCCCAGAAACAGAGCCTGTTACGAACCACCAAATCCTTTAAGCTATCGTCTCACCCGCCCATCCTCCCAGCCCACGCCCAGCCCTACCAACCACTAAAACTGCTGTCTGACTCTATAGCTTTGCCTATTCTGGACATTTCATATGAATGGAATCTTATGAGATCTTTGTAACTTGCTTCTTTCACTTAGCATAATACTTCCCTGTTTCATCCACATTATAGTATATATCAGTACTTCATTCCTTTTTGTGGCCAAATAATATTCCATTTTATGGCTATACCAATTATGTTTATCCATTCATCAGTTAATGGACATTTGGATTATTTAAAAATCAACATGAGGCCAAAATATTGTTAAAAAAAAAAAGCTACCTTTGAAAACCTTTGGCATTATCCATGATTTTTATCTCCAAAAACCTGAATTCTTAGAATCACTAAAGTTGAAGAACTTACGAACTTGCAAAAAGGAAAAACAGGAAAAATATATGCAGGTATCCAAACATTCAATATATTCTGCCTTTAATATAATTTTTAAATCTTTAGAGGAAGATAGGAAATTCTAAGGTATTTATTCTATTGTTTAATGTTAAGCCTCTGTACAAGTTGGTTTTAGGAATAAATGACCTAATAGAGTTACAGATTAAATAGAGGTTAGTCCCAAAGTCAATAGTAAATGTGGTATGTCCAACACATCAAAGGCACTCAAAAAATAAATATAGGATGAATTGATGGGTGAGGGGATGGTAGCTGGGTGGATGGATGGATGAATGGGTGGGTGGTAGGTGAGTGGATAGAAGGATGGATGGATGGATGGATGGATGGGAGGGTGGGTAGATGGGTGGAGGGATAATGGATAATCAGTAGATGAATGGATGGAAGGAAGGAATGGAGGGAGGCAGGGAGGCAGGGAAGGATGCAGGGTGGGTGGATGGGTTGATGGATGGGTGGATGAATGGATACATGCTGGGACTTGAAGCTGTTGAGGGGAATCCCACTTGGGTGGAAGAGGTCACCGAAAGCCCCGTGTGTGCCACAGGCAGCCTGTGACGTGTTCTGCGTGGGAGATGACGTCAACATTGAGAAGGCGAACAACTCCCTCATCAGCAATGACCGAAGCTGGAAGAGAAACAAGTTCCGCCTCACCTATGTGGCTGAAGCTCCGGAACTTACACAAGGTACCACTCCCCACCCTCCCGGGGAGACATTCCTGACGGTGTGGGGAAGGGGAAGACAGGAGTTCTCACCTCCAAAAGGTGCTCAGAGAAGGTGGGCTTCATCGCTTTGGTCTCCCTGTAGTGCAATCCTCCAAAAATAAACGCGCTGCTCCTGCCCCACACGCAGGAAAACAGCGTGCTTGAAAGAGCGCCTCCCTCCGGCAGCATGGTGTGCTACCCGGAACCTCCTCTTCTCCACTGAGTTCAGCCGGATTTGCTTTTTGCTCTGCATTGTCTGCAACCGCCCCCACCAATGCCTGCCTGGCCTCTTTTCTTCTGTGTCTCTTCACTGTGCCCCAGAGGACAGGGAAACGTAAGGAGGGGGTCAGTAGAAGCTAGAGGCTTTTTCTTGACAAAGAAAACTCTGTAACTCCATCTCAGGAAGAATGATGCTCTCCTCCCTGCAGGTCTATCCAGTGTCCACAAAAAGCGGGTCTCAGCCGCTCGACTCCTCAGCCGTCAAAACCTTCAGAGCCCCAAATCCAGGTAGGAACACCTTGGTCCCCTGGGGTTACCCGCCTCTGCCCCAGGTGCCACCCTCAATAAGGAAGGGGCCCTTGTTGACTCCGAGGACTGGCTTCCTCTCACCACTCTAAGGGTCATCAAGAGCCCTTGCTTCTTTGTAGCATCTTGGTTTTCTGCTTTCCCCTTTGCCAAGCTCCAGGCTGCAAGGCTGAAAAAAAGTGAATGGTGATGATTATTGTGGAAAGAGGCAAGAGAAAGGTTCTATGAGGAGTTTCAATATGGACCACACCCTTGTCGAACTGCTAACGTTCACTGTCATGTTCATGATAGTCAGAAATCTCTTAGTCCTGACCTTTCCTCCTCTCAGATAATTCTCCCCGGGCATCCTGAACAACGGCTGCCTAGGGTCTGCTTAAATTCCCTTGGGATGACGAGATGTTTATTACATACATCAGCCCCTCTGTGTCTTGAGGTCCTAATTGTTAAGAACTATCTTATGATTGCTTATCAGCAAAGCATGTCTTCCTAGCACTTCATTTTGGTCCTCAGCTACACTCTCCAGTGACACCCAGTACAAAGTGACTTCTTCCAAATGAGAGAGCTGCAAATAGCCAAGGACGGCGACCAGTCTCTCCCCGGTCCTGGTTCCTTCCAAGTGTTCTTCCCGAGACCTGGGTTCCCAAACGTTTTGCTTTAGTTAAAGGACGCACTCTGTCCTGCTGCAGATGTCATTCTCAGACCTGGTCACAGTGCAGTGGAAGTCCCATGATCACTGCCAAGTGCGCTAAGGCTGTTACTACCATCCCGGATCTGGACAGGACACGCTGGTGCTGCCCCAGATGCGGGCGTCGTCCTGACAGCCATGCCGCTTATGTCCTTGCTGCTCTTAGACTTCACGTCTTCTCAGAGTGACCCCGTCAGGTCTCTGCATCCCTCCACCTGGATAAGTAAAAAAGAATTTTTAGCAGGAATGAAGTTCTTTGCATTGATCCCTGTCGAATGGAAGCCATTTCACTTTGCATTTACAGCCCATGAAGATCTTTTGAGATCTCGAATTTTTTGCATGGCAAAGTACAAAGTGTGGGCTCTCGAGCTGGACAGCCCTGGGATCTGGACCCAGTTCTGCCACGTGCCGGCTGTGTGACCTTGGGCAAGTCCCTTGGGTCCTCTGAACCCCTGTCTCCTTACCTAAAGTAAGAATCGTGGCTATAAAGATTGCCAACATTTATCTAGTACTTTCTGCATTCCAAGCGCTGTTTTGAGTCCTCTCTGTGTAGAATCTCACAGAACTCCACCAGCCTAGGAAGTAGGCACTATTATCATCTACATTTTAAATATGAAAAATGACAATTAGAAAACACAAGTGACTTTTTCAAGGTTACACAGACTTTGTTCTCTGATTCCAAAGTCATGATGCCAAATGGCTGTTCCTACGGCCTGAACAACATCGCGAGGCTGCTGTGGGCATTAGACAATGCACACAAAGCAGCTAGCATATCATACATTCCCGTTACTGTCCCTTCTCCATCCCAGCTTCCTACACCTGCAGATTTAGTCTGTATGCTTTCTACGTGGACGTCAAACCTTTGACAACACTGTCAACGGGATGGAGCCCCAGGGCTCTCGTGTTGTCTCCTAGATCCTCAAACACTGGAGGAATGGATTGGGAATCTATTGGAAATTTCTTACAGTAAAAAACTGTGGAAGACCAGATCACAAAAAGTTACTCCTTACACCATTATACACAAACAGCAAGGTCATTTGCAAATGTCTGGATGCTAAGTTGGACCAAAGTCCCCTCCATCTTCCTCCAGAAAGGATGGCTGACTCCATGCTGGGTAACTTACTTACCAAAGGATATTTCAGCAAGGTTAGGAACTAGAAGATAGCGTTAAAAGCAGTTCTGGATTAGCACAAAAAAGGATCAGGTTGTGTCCAGGTGTTTAGCTCTTTAAAAGCGTACCCTATAGGGCTACCAATTCGCAGACTTACTACCATTTCCAGCTTTATGAGTTTTGTTTTTTTTTTAAGGAAAACTGAATGAAAAAGCATGACTCTGTCTCCAGTTTTCCCCCCTCCAAGGCCAGAGTTGGGCTGTTTGCGCCTGGACGCCCTAGCAAGATACCACAAATCACAAATCACACACACCCCTCACCCCTACCCCCAACAAGAGACCCTTAATTGCAAGCAAAGTGCTTAAGAGGAAGTAAACCTGCTTTTGAGGGTGATCCTTGCCACTCTAAAGAGAAAAGTGACTGGCAGTTACTGCCCGGCCAGGAAATAAATTTTCTCTGTACTCCAATTAGCAAACAGTACAGAAGAGAGTATAATGGAGCATGAAGTGGTGGTGTGTGGATCCTTAAGTCCTGGAAGTCAGGAGGAAGGGACGTGCAGGGGAGGCTTTAGAGAGGCTGGTGAATAGAGGACATGTCCACTCCTTCTCATTATTCAGGCCTCTGCTCAAATGTCAAATCCCTGGCCATCCTTATCTGCTGGTCACTAAGCCCACGGCCCCCAGCCCGTCACCACCCACCCATCCACATCACCAGCCCCATCGGAGATCTTTTCAAGTCACTTCTCAATGAGAATCGGGCACTTTGTTGTCTTTATCCACCACTCTCTCACCAGTGTCTAGAACAGTGCCTGACACTCATTGCGAATTTGTTGAGTGTGTGAACCTTATTAACTCAAACTGCCTGCAACAGACAATGTTTCCTCTTTTCACTGAAGAATGAACAGCTATTTTTTTTCCATTTAATGCTGGACATTAGCAGGCTGTTCTTTCATCTGCGAACCTGTCATTGAACCCTTGCCAAGTGTGCGCGTGAGTGTGTGTAGTTATGCTTCTGTAGGTGGATATGCGTACATCACAAGCCGGGGGTGCTCTGGGGGAGAGGGTAGAAAGGGCCCAAAAGCCTACTGCCTTCCCAGTGCTGCCCTTTCTCCTTCCCCTAATACTTTTCAATGGCTCATATGTGTCCCAGGCTTAGAAAATCCTATACTTAGAAACCCCTAGCAGAACTGAGAGTTAAGACGGTGGGTCTCCAGGCTAGCGCTATCCACTGGGGGATCAGCTTCCTGCAAAGCTTCAAGGACCAGCCCATCAAGATGTCCTGGGACCACATCCCAGGAGAGCCTGGGCCCACCTGGTAGCCAACTGGCCAGCGACATTCCCATTCCTGCCTCTTATCCGCTGACCACCTTCTGCCACGTTCAAGAGGCCTCCGGGCAAGTGGCTGTGAGCGTGAGCCAGCTCAGCAAGTTCGGGTCCTCTGCGTTTCTATTTTGTACCGGCCGAATGAACGGAGGCAAATATACTTCTGAAAGAAATCGTGATGATCTGGGAGAAAGTGGGAATTGATTTGCGGGGCCTTTCAAAGGCTTCCCGGGGTTGATGCTGGAGGCTCCCAAATTAGCGACCCCACAGCGCCACCTGCTGGCTGGCAGCCTCCGCTCTCCAGGATCCAAAACATGAGCGTGAGCTCAGAGCAGAATCCATCATTCAAGTCCGCATCATTGGCAAGATCAGTGACCCAGAGAGGGCAAAACCAGCCCAGGGACAGAGGGTGGGACCCCAGACCCTACCACCATCAATCACAATTTCAGTTACCAAGTTCCCCACCATGCTAAGGACCAGGGGTGCCGTGCTTTGATAAAATACTTGACACCCAAAAAAGCAAATATGCCAGCACAACTATTTTTAATAATGGTGGCTATTTGCAGCACAAAAGGGCTCTTGGTTGTGCCAAAAACTCCTTTAAATAGCGAGTCCCATTGGTCTATTCAAGTGCTGATTTACATACCGAGGAGAATGTAGAAACTTCTTGTTGAATATCAAGTGTCTCCATCAGCTGAAAACCAGTTGGCAATGAAGAAAGAGCAGATCTGAAAATGCAACTGTAACTCAAAGAATACGAAAGATTTGATTCACTAAGATGCAGTAATCAACCCCCAAAGTTTTCAGGTAAAAAAAAAATGCACTAGATCTATACTGAAACTTTACAGAGGGCCAGAATCATTGTAGTCTGAGGAGTCATTCTTGAAGCCATTCACTTAGCACAGAGCTCCTGCCCTTGAAATTCAAAAATCAATAGAAAGGGCATGACCTGGCAGACTGAACAAGTGTCTCACTGGGTTTTCTCCTGAGTTCTGTGGATTTTGTAATATCAGTGGGTTTGTGCATAACAAAAACCCAAGCTTAAGGCCAAGTTCTTTTCCCTGGTCCCTAACAAGATGAGGACCCAGGCTGCAAAAGGAAGTGAAGCTTGGGATTCCGAGGAGAGATGGTATTTCACAGAATGGGGACATCACTGCCTGGGGCTCCAATGGGCTAGTGGTTCCTGGCAGAACTCCGATTGGTATTGAGAGCAGAACCTATTCCAGCAGCCGGATAATCCTGGGAGTCTCGGGTTCCTTTAATCAATAAATCTATCTTGAGTACCTACTACATGCTGTGCACTGTCCTAGGTGCCAGAATAGAGTAGGGGACAAAAGAGACAAATTCTCTGCCCTCTAGAGCTTACATTGTCCTTGGGGCCAAGGAAGGCGGAGGCAGGCAGGAGGCAGACCACGAAGCTTATAACGAAGTAAACTCTGCTGGGGGTCAGATGATGGTAGGTACAGGGGAGAATTGAGCAGGGGCAGGAAGACAGAAACGCAGTCAGGTCCGGGGACTGAACCCTGGGGTGCTCCACCGCCCAGAGTTAGGGAAGATGAGAAGGAACAGGCAGAGCAGACCGAGCAGGAGCAGCCAGAGAGAAGATCGAGAGAGTCTGGGGTGCTAGAATCCAGGAGAAGGGAGTTGAGAAAGAGCAGGTGACCAGCTGTATCCACTGCTGCTTGGGTGACTGCGATGAGCACTGGGAACTGGCAGTTGGATTTGCAATGAGGAGCTCATGGTTGACCTTGCTAAAAGCCGTGGGTGGTGTAGTATGATGGGGGCAGAAGCCTGATTGGCATGAGCCCCAGGAGAATGGAAGGAGGGGAGCTGCAGCCACAAGGACAGACAGAGGAGCAATGAAAAGGGGCAGGAACCGGTGGCCCTTAACTCTTCATTCCCCCACCCTTCCCTCCAGCCGATCCACCATCTTCGTGCGTCTCCACACCAATGGGAACCAGGAGCTGCAGTACCAGCCTGGGGACCACCTGGGTGTCTTCCCGGGCAACCATGAGGACCTCGTGAATGCCCTGATCGAGCGGCTGGAGGACGCGCCCCCTGTCAACCAGCTGGTGAAGGTGGAGCTGCTGGAGGAACGGAACACGGCTTTGGGTAACTACGGTCAGCTGTGTACCCTACCCGGCCACTCCCAAGGGACCTCCCCGTCTCCAGGGAGTCCCAGAGGCAGTGGGTGTCTGGGAAAGAGGAGACCCGTTCTTCTTCCCAATCGCCAATCTAGCTAGGAGGGTTGTCTCTGTCACCCTCCAGCTTATGAGACATAAGACACCCCCTTTCTCATGGCTAAACAGCGTTGGCCCAACTGGCTGAGTGAACGTCCGTGATGCTGGGACATTGATGGCTTATCATCAAAGAGAAGGGGTGTCTCCCTTCCTTCATCAGCTGGACACCAATCTCAGCAGGGGCTGCTCGTCTTACTTCCTCCATCACCCCTGCCTCACTGCCTGCCAAGTAAATAGCAGCTGAAGTCTGCCCCTGCCTCCTCTTAGAATCGAAAGGCACTGGATGAAGCTCAGTGGCCCATTGTGATTGAACCACATTTCAAACCTCATTAGACCAAGTCCCAACCCGTTTCAGTGACCGTCCTTGACATTCCTGTTAAAGAACTTTTAAAGGAAAAAGGTAAATGTCTCAGTGTTTCATCTCAGTAGCCGCAGGTACAAGGAACTGCGGTGACCATACATGGTAGCCCAGTGATTCAGTGACCTGTCCCCTTTAAAAACGAGCCAGGATGTAAAGTCAGGCAGAATGTGAGAACAGTATGTAGTCAAAGCTCTGGTGAAAATCCCTTTGGAAGGTACCGCTTTAGAGAGACACACTTTCTCTTAATAAATCCAGTCCAGCCAGTTCCTCCTCCACTTTGGAACAGTACTTTTTATCTTGAGTTGAGCCCCTGATGACGGAGAGGCTTGTGTTTAGGAGCTATATTGAATTAAAGAACATAAAGGCAGTGTTGTATAGTAGTTAATACATGGTCTGGAGCAATACTGCCTGACTTTATGCCTTTGAGCTATGTGACCTGGGGCAAATTCCTTAACCTCTCTGTGCTTCCATTTTCCTCAACTGCAACATGGAAATAATAATAGCACCCACGACCTAGGATTGTGGCGAGGATTAAATGAGTTAATAATATCAGGTGCTGAGAATAGTATGTGGCACATAGAAAGTGCTAGGTGAGTGTTGAGCATGTTAAACACCAGAATCCCACTCAGAGAGGTGAGAAGCTGACGCCAAGAAAGGACAGATGGAGACAGAATAGACTCATAGCTCACGCGCAAGTTGGTGGCTCACTGCATAGAATGTCAGGGGACTGTCTCATGCTATTTTAATATTTGTTCATTCTTAAATTTTTGGACTAGTTTGCTCGATTGATTTTGGACATGGTTCTTGCACACACAAGGTGTCACATGGTCCCCAGGGCCCCGGGTGTCGATGTGGGAGGTGGGAGGTGGACAGCCGAGGAGTTGCTTGGCTCTGGGGCAGTCCAGCTCCACAGGCCCCATGCTGCGCCCCTGACTTGGACCCAGGTCCTCGGAGCCCAGTCTCTCCTCCCCCCACCCATGTCTCACCTCCTGTGCCTCCACAGGCGTTATCAGTAACTGGACCGATGAGCATCGCCTCCCGCCCTGCACCATCTTCCAGGCCTTCAAATACTATCTGGACATCACCACCCCGCCGACGCCGCTGCAGCTGCAGCAGTTTGCCTCCCTGGCCACCAGCGAGAAAGAGAAGCAGCGTCTGCTGGTCCTCAGCAAGGTGGGTCCCTGGCCTCGGACAACCTCAAGGGGGCGCCTTCCGCCTCCCCTGTGGTTGGAGCGTTGTATAGTTATTACAGCGGTTGTCCAGCAGATGGCAGTCTTGAGCAAGGGCTGCCACGCTAGTTTGCAGAAGGTCGCCATTGGCTAGTCCTGGCGAGGATGAGGGTAACCCCATTGAATCTCCAAGTTCTCTGGCTGCAGTAGAAATTACTGTTCTAACTCTTTTTCCTCCTTCCTTTGGAACCTTTGAGCTTCCATTAGTTTTGTCGGAGTCCATGCTTAGAAGAATCCCATTGTGCCCTGTTTTAAAATCTGCCTTTTTCAGTGCTGATGAGCTATAGGTATGCCTTCAAGATCTAGGCGTCCTCGGGTGGTAAAGTGAACCAAAAAGCTTAGCTTCTACCACCCTTGCTTAGAAACCAAGCTGCTGCAAAAAATCCTAGCTGGGAGGACCATTCAGACTTCCCCCAGTCGGGTCTCCTCCCCAGTAAGCAAGCTATCAGTGGGGCATGTGTAGAAGAGGGGATTGAATGGTGGTACAGCAAGTTTGTTTGTTTGTTTGTTTGTTTTTTAATTCAGGGAGTGCATATTATTTAGAATGATGAAAATAAACACCAGAAAACAAAAAACACTTAATAAATGGTACATGGTTACTTCTGAGGGGTTAGACACAGATTGGAGAGCATTATTGTTCATCAGAAGTTTTGCAGAATTATTTAACCTTTAAAATCTGTACATGCACAACTTTGAAATTTTAAATGAGTGAAAGAGGGCTAATAGGAAGAGAGAACAGAGCTTGCACTGTTTGCATGGGATTATTTAAAGTTGAATTTGATATAGCTGTGTGTAGGAATCCGTTTCTTCCAAAAAGAGCAAACTCCATTAAAAGAATGAGGATTTCTATCCGGGGAAACCCCTGTGTGAGAGACCATGGGAAAGGAGTCAGATAAGGTGGAGAGAACCGTCAGACCTCAAAACAAGCCGACCCCAAGTGAGGGAGAGAGCAGAAAGTTTAAATGGAGGCTTCTGGGATCAGGTGGATGTCAGGTTTAGTGGCTAGCTGCTGGGGCTCTTGGCCAGTTGCGCCCCTGCGGCTAGAGGTCAATAAGGCTGGGGACCTTGGGAGGCACAGTCTCAAGAATGCCATCCCCTATCAATAAAGGAAGGATGGTCTTTAAGAACATGGGGAGAAGCTTTGGTATACAAGGCACTTGTAGTAGGCTTCACCCTTCTTAAAATCTGAGCTTCTTATAAGCTAAGGGCAGCTTCTAAGATATAGGAAAAAATAGCTCCAGAGCCCTAGAAAGTTCCTCTGGTCCCTGGTAACAGCTGGTCTTTGCTGTCAGTGTACCCCTGAACATGGAGCTCCACACTCCAACCTGTTCCTTCGGGGTTGTCATTTACCATCTTGAATGTGACCCATACTCTCCGAGGAGGCACCTCCAGACCCACAAATCACACACCTGCGAGTCATGACTCCGTCCCCATTGTATCTCTTGACCTCCACAACTGGCAGGAGAGTGTAATGGTCAGGAGCATAGATTCTGGGGCCAGACTGCCCAGAACAGGGGTCTGCAAGGTTTTTTTCACAAGGGACCCGGTAGTAAATATGTTAGACTCACAGTCCGTTTGTCACAACCATTCAACTCTGCCATGGCACAGCAGCAAAGATGACCCAGAAATGAGTGGACATGGCTGAGTTCCAATCAGACTTTATTTGTGGACACTGAAATTTGAATTTCATAACATACTCTTATGTCATGAAATAGTATTGGGTTTTCCCACCAACTGTTTAAATATGTAAAAATTACTCTTAGCTCATGGGCCTTACAGAGTGAGTACTGAGCCAGATTTGGTTTGTGGGCTGAAGTTTGCCACCCCCTGACCTGGACTCACCACCTCGTATCCACCATGGGATTTCTATATACCTCAGTTTCCCCATCACTAAAATAGGCATGGTGATCAGACTTATTTCCTCAGATCCTTGCAAAAATGAGAACCCGGCACAGAATAATTCCTGTGTTGAGAGTTGACTGTTACTGTGTTTTTATTTGCCTTCTTCCCTGGACTTCCTCGAGCCCTCATGGGAAGCTTGTTCCAGGGGCTGGCTGCGAGTTCTTCTCTGCCCCTCTCCTCGGCACAGGGACTGCAGGAGTACGAGGAATGGAAGTGGGGCAAGAACCCCACCATCGTGGAGGTGCTGGAGGAGTTCCCGTCCGTCCAGACGCCCTCCACGCTGCTCCTGACCCAGCTGTCCCTGCTGCAGCCACGCTACTACTCCATCAGCTCCTCCCCAGACATGTACCCCGACGAGGTGCACCTCACCGTGGCCATCGTCTCCTACCGCACCCGAGGTGGGCAGAGGCGCTGGGCGAGCCCCCGGGTCGGGCCCCCCCCCACCTTCCAGGGGTCTCTGCACATCTGTCTAAACCACTGCCAAGTCCCAAATCCCCTGGGAGGAGACCCCCCCCCCGCCCGAGACCAGGAAACCGGGAAAAGAAACAGAGCAGCAAACTGTCCCCTTAGGCAGAGCCAGCTCTGTGCAGAATTAGGAAGGAAACAAAGTGCACATTTGGAAACCTCTGCTCCCAAAGCCAGAGACCCTCCTTTACTCCCTTCCTCCCCTCATACCCCCAAGGCAGCAGCTAGAACAAGCCGCCAGCACCCCTTCCCTCCGAGGGGGGAGCTCTCTGCTGCCTGATGTCCAGCTGATTACAGATCATTCAGCTTACATGACCTCTGCTCCCGTGTTTTCCCTCTTTGATAAAGCAGTTAAAATGCATGGTGCCTGAGAGAGGACCCCAACAGGCTAGCGAGAGCATGTTGAGCAGGACCCTTTCCGTGGACAGGATTTGAATCTGACCCACACCTGTCCAGCAGTTTCGTAGCCACGAGCTCACCCCAGCTTCACCATTTCCTCCTGCCCTTCAGAGGAAGGGATCCAGACAAGGAACGCTAAGGCAGAGACTTGGCGTTGGGACCGTGAGCCTTCTGCATTGGAGACGGGGGGAGGTCAGGGACCGGGAAGCTTGGGGGACGACAGGAGGTGAGCCCGGTCACCTTGGTTGCTCTGCTAGATGGAGAAGGACCAGTTCACCACGGTGTGTGCTCCTCCTGGCTGAACCGGATCCAGGCTGACGAAGTGGTGCCCTGTTTCGTGAGAGGGTGAGTGGCAAATGAGGAGAAATAAGCAGCCATCCCGAATCTGCATCCCGATGTCTTTAGCTGGGCTGGGTGGTCCAGCCTGAAGGTTCTGGGAGGTGGCGGAGTCAGGTGGGACTGAGATCGGCATTCTGCACCACTCCGGGTCGGTTGTTAAGGAAACAGGATCGGGGGGCGCAGAGTAACACTGCAGAAGCTAAGCAAGTCCTCTAGCCAAATTCAGGTCAATGCAACAGATCCTTACCCAGTGCACGTACCGTGCTCGATGCTGGGGTTACAGCAGACGCCAGGCAAGTGCAGCTTCGGCCTTCATGGAATTTGCAGACTAGTGGAATTTCTATCCAGGGTCTGCTGGCCACCCCATCTGTTCCCAGTTTCTCAGAGACCAGGAAGATTTAACCCCTCTCCCCATCAATCTGGTCTTTTCCTCCCAGACTCAGTTTTAAAAGTGGTTTCTGCCCACTTGTGTCTTGCACTTAAAAATGTGCTAAAGGGATCGATTTCGTGTCAAGTGTTCCTACCACAATCAATCAGTCAAATTAAAAAATATAACTTTAAAAAATAAAAAACAGGAGGTGTGTCTGCACCGAAGCCCACTGTAAGTACCTGCTTTGCCAGCCGATAACTCCCCTAACTCAGCAGTGGGCTCGGCCGGCCATTTTTTCTCAGCTGTTCAGGGTGGGACGGTCATGGTGTGGTCCACACACCGTCAGCATCAGAATCCCCTCGGGTGCTTCAAAACTGCGGAGTCCTGAGCCCAGACTTGCTGCATTGCCCAGGACTCTGCCACCCCTTTTAATATCACCATGTGATTCTCTTGTACCCTGAAGTCTGCGACTCCCTGCCGTGAGAAGATCTCATGGATGGTTGATCCGGTGATTCTCAGCCAGGGGTGATTTTTGCCTCCCAGGGGGTGCTTGGCCGTGTCTAGAGATAGTTTGGGTTGTCACAGCCGGAAGGTGCTCCTGGCATCTAATAGGCAGAGGCCTGGGTACTTAGCATCCTGTAATGCACAGGACAGCCCCCACCACGGAGAATTGTGCAGCCCCAAATGTCAACAGTGCCAAGGTAGGGACTCTGCTTGGCTTAGCTCAGCAATGGGGATAATTGGGAAATGGAGCGATAACCAGACCCTCAGGACCTCCTGTTTGGAGAATTCCCTGAATTTATGAGACCTCTCACCCTGGTAAGGGCCACCTGATCCCCAGTGAGCTACCCAAGATGGCCATCTGGTTTACCTAAGACCCAACAGTTCTTGATCAGATTTGAGCTCCGCAAGCCTTCTGACTCTCTCTCTTCCTTGTCCAGAGCGCCCAGCTTCCACCTGCCCCGAAACCCCCAAGTGCCCTGTATCCTGGTTGGCCCGGGCACTGGCATTGCCCCTTTCCGAAGCTTCTGGCAGCAACGGCAGTTTGATATCCAGCACAAAGGTGGGTCCAGCAGCCATGGGATCTCCACCCTTTGGACCTGAGGTGGCCCGCTTGCATCCCAGCAGCCTGGAGACACAACGATGTTCTCTCTCCTTTGTGTCACCACCTGGGGAGGGCCTGGGGGAGCAGAGTAGTGACCTGACCCACGGGTGAAGTTCCTGGTATAATTCAAAGGACCTGCCCAAGCAAATCCACACAGCTTGTCCCCGGGCCTGTAATTCCAACCCTAGAAGACATTTTTTTCAACTGCTAAACTAGGACCCCATCTTAAAACGTAAGCAGCCCTAGAAGGGGTTAACATTGAGCCTTAGCAGGTGTGTGTTTATGTCCCAGAGGCTTTAATGTGAGAGACACAACAGGTCAGCTTTGAGAGGAGAGAAAGAAACCCACAGGCTGTGTAAGACACTTCTTTTCCTCAGGCCTTTGGAGGGGGGTAATTAAGTTTATTTAACTATTTATCTGTTTTAATGAAGGTACTGGGGATTGAACCCAGGACCCCCTGCATGCTAAGCATGAGCTCTACCACTGAGCTCTACCCTCCCTGTAAAAGAGGCTCTTTTAAGCCCCGTCACTGCTTGGACGAGTTCATGCCATTACGGTACTGGGTACTTGTCTACCTTTATCCTTTCTGATCCTCCAGTGACATCACATGTAGTCATTTTGCCCTCAGTGGTACCCCAGGTAGCTAGCAATTTCTAGGCTCTTAAGATTCTGTCCTTATTAAAGTTAATTCCTCTATTAAATACAATTTGTTGTTAGAAATAAAGTAGATTCTTAAAAAAAAAAATAAAGAAACCCACAGGAGGTTTTTTGGTTCTTTTTAAAAGATGGTTTGTTTGTTTTTGTTTTTTTTTCTTATTAGAAACCCACTGTTTCATCATGCTTTAAACAGGGATTTACTGAGCATCTCATGAATGCCAAACACGATTGTGGGTGCTGGAGGCATAGCAATGAACAAGACAGAAACAACTTAAAAAAAAAAAAAAAGCTTGCCCCAGTGAAACTGTCATTCTAATAAAATAGCTAACGTGTATGAAGTACAGTTGACCCTTGAATGACATGGGTTTGAACTGCATAGGTCCACTTGTATGCAGACTTTTTTCATTAAATGCATGCATCTGGTACTGCACCATTTGGGGTTGGTTGAAAACCCGCAAATGCCGAACCTCAGATGCAGGGAGCCGCCCATGGGACTTGAGCATCCCTGGGTTTTGGTATCCAGGGCAGGTCCTGGAACTGATCCCCGTGGATACCAAGGGACAACTGTATTCGCTGTGTCCCAGGCACGGTTCTCATATTTTACATTCATTTCTCCCAATGACCCAGTGAGGTTAGATGGTACTATTGTTGTCATTTTGTACATCGGGACACAGAGATGTAGAAAGTTAGGTAAATTGCTCAGGATCACACACGGCTGAGATTTGAACCCAGGCAGTCTAGCTTCAGAGTCTGGAGGTTTTTAGCACTCCCCAGTGGTGGGAGCTGCTCAGTAGCCAGGGGGTGGAAGGAAGGATTAAAACTCAGAGAAGAGAGGTCTGCCTAAGTCTGAACACACTTGCCCGGTTTTGCCCAGTTTTGCTGTTTCCCTCGGTGCATGCATGTATGCATGAATACACAGACCTTCGGCCCCGGTGTCTGTGTCCCTCTGCCCACGTGGCACATGCTAAGGTTCCCAGCACCCCTGGCACCACCAGCCACCCCTCCAAGTCAAGCTTCAGAGCTGCCAGTGACATAAGATCTTTCCGGTCCCCAGGAATGAGTCCCTGCCCCATGGTCCTGGTCTTCGGGTGCCGACAGTCCAAGATAGACCACATCTACAGAGAGGAGACCCTACAGGCCAAGAGCAAGGGGGTCTTCAGAGAACTGTACACAGCCTACTCTCGGGAGCCTGACAAACCAAAGGTAATCCCCAGCCCGTTCACGGTCCCCCCACCCCTGCCCAACATACACGCGAGCTCGCACACACAGGCACATCCCGCTCCCAGAGGCCCCCTCACCCTTTCTCAGTTCTCCTCCATTGACATTGCTCTGTACTTCAGGAAGCAAGGAGCCTAAAAATATTGATTTGAAGTATTTAACAGCCACTTGTAGGAAATATCCAGAATAGCCAAATCCATGGAGACAGAAAGTGGATTTGTGGTTGCCGGGGGCTGTGGGGAGTGGGGGAGATGGGGAGTGACTCCTTATGTCACAGGGTTCCTTTAGGGGGATGAAAAGGTTCTAGAACTGGGTAGCAGGGATGGTTGCACAACATTGTGAACGTACTTAATGCCGCTGAATTGTATTGAATATTAAAATACACGTAAGTTTTACGTTACGCGTATTTTATCACAATAAAAATGTTTAGAGATAGGAATTTTAAAAATTAAACAGCCCATAAGCAAGAGACACGACAAGTCAGAATGGATACAGGACACAAGACTGGAGCTCGCTCCTAGTGGATCTTGCGGGGGGGGGGTCTCAACTGGACCCCCCGGGGCGTCCCAGGAAAGAGGCCAGGACAGCAGGGGAGGCGGGCAGGCCCTCGGACGGTCTGGGCAGCGGCTGCTTGACAGCCAGCAGGGAAGTTCGTCAGTGTTTTAACAGCGGGTACGGCCATGCCAGGACGTGCCAGCTGAATGTCGGGCTCGCCCAGGGGAAGTTTCCTGAGCAAGTTAAAGACGCCCTGGGCCAACCAGACAAATTCCCTTAGAGGCCAGATTGGACACCCGTGCCCACCGGACGTTCACGTAGCCCCCCTCTCTTATTCCAGCAATAATTGCAGCAGCTGGCTTTGCCCAGGTGGGACCTGACGGCCCCTCACCTGGCCCCCATCTCGCTGTCTGCCCTGGCGCCCCTGGCACAGGATGCCTGCAGTGCCAGCCCCGCACCCAGACGTGTGCGGGCATTAACACCCCGTGGGTGACCACTGGCCATCAGAGAGAGGAGCGGGTGGGCAACGCCCCTCCAGGGGGTGGGTCTGGGGTAGGTGCTGCCTGGGCTCCCTAGACGGTCCTCAGCAGAGCTGAGCTCCAGCGTAGGGAGCAGCTCATCACACCCACAGAGCAGCCTTCCCTCCTTCCCTGCTTCCCTCTTCCCAGTCCCCTACATCGCTACACAAAATATATACGTGCGCACAAGCCCCTGGCTCAGGCTCTGCTCCCCAGAGGACATGAACCGCCCAGGATCACCCTGCAGCCCCGGCCCCTTCTCACTGGTCCCCCTGCTCCCCGCAGAAGTACGTGCAGGACATCCTACAGGAGCAGCTGGCGGAACCCGTGTGCCGAGCCCTGAAGGAGCAAGGGGGCCACATTTACGTCTGTGGGGACGTCACCATGGCCGCTGACGTCCTCAAAGCCATCCAGCGCATCATGACCCAGCAGGGGAAACTCTCGGTAGAGGATGCTGGCGTGTTTATCAGCAGGCTGAGGGTGAGTGATGGGCTGGCTTCTAGGATTCCTTTTCCAGCCCCCAGCTTCCTGTCTCCTCTTCCTTATCTTGCCTGTCTTGACGATTAGGGGAGCCACGATGACATCCCTGCTCCCATTTTCCCATTTACGACTGGGGACAGAGGATACAGGTGGTCGCAAACCATAGTGAGAGAAAAGGAAGGGTGGCGGGTGTGCAGTTGCATGTAGTAAATATAGCGGGGAGCTGTGATGTGTGAAAATAAGTGGGTGGACTGCTGGGCAGCTAGACAGAAACCCTCCTAAACCAACTTTTCCTGCCCTGGAACCAAGCTGCAGCACTGCCCTGTGCAGTTGTGCAGGTTGGGTACTGCCCAAAAAGATTTGTCCAAGGCGGACAAGTGGAGGATGAAAGCCACCGCAAGCTTGGCTCTCCAGGCAGTGCACCTTGGCATGGAACTGCGTTCACCCCAGAAGGAGGGGTGCTTTTTCCTAATTTGCACAAAAGGCTAGTCGCAGCGCAGCAAGCCAAGTGCTAACTATGTGGCCAACTGCCCGAAGGGAATAAACTGAGCCCCAGGCCTCCACAGAGCTCCAGGGGTGGTCCCATTCTTCCTACTTCTCTGAATGAGCAGTAAGCAAAATGTTTTTGCAAAAGAAGCCCTTGCTCTGATTCTGATGTTAAATCCTATTAGGTTAAAAAAAAAAAAAAAAACTTTGGAGCAGTGGAGCCCCACCCCACCCCCATCACTCAGTCTCTTTGAGGTGAGCCTTGGGAGACACTTTTGTAGATTCTGCAGAACTCTGTGGAATAAGGTTGGAAAACCACCCCAACTTAAAATGAATCCACTCTACAGATGGGCAACTTTCCTCAAAACCTTTGGGACCAAGGATGCCAGAACTTAACTCTGAGAAGTGTGTGATTCCCCGACCACCACCTCTCCTCAGCAGGGAGGTGCAGTTTCCCCTTGTTTAATCCTCTGAGATGTTCTTAATGCCCATCCATCAGTCCTGCCAGAGGAGCTCCAGTGGCTACAGAAACTCTTAGATGCCACAAGTCCACCGTCACTTGGGCTGTTTCTTGAGTTCTTTGTTTGGCTGGCTGTTTCTGGGCAAAGCTGAGCTTCGGATAAACTCATGTGTCCCAAGAAATCTCCACTTTGGCAACCGTGGTGTCCCCTGAGCGCTAAGCGGGCACTTTTTCTTTTCTCCCTTTTTCACTGGTCCCCTCCGGGCTCTGATGTTTCCAACTAAACCCAGCCGTGCCCAAATCTGAACTTGCAGGATCGAGGAGAAGGGAGGAAAGGGGGAAATGGACAGGTTTCGACAGAGCCTCATCACTGTTTCTGGATGGGAACATAAGGGTTCTTTGCCAGCTGGGCTAGAGAGGCCCTTTGCCCTGGAGGGCACAGGGTCTTGCCAAAACAGAGTCTTGGAGACCAGAGGGGTCCCCGGGGGCTCAGGGTTCCACCTCATTTCTTAAGAAACTATCTTCTTTAGGGATATTCCAGGGTATCAGCATGTTTGCCTGGCTCCGTGCTTTTGGCTGGCATTTGAGGTCTGTTTCCTGGCTGTTTCTGTCCCCTAGGATGACAACCGGTACCATGAGGATATTTTCGGGGTCACCCTGCGCACGTATGAAGTGACCAACCGCCTTAGATCTGAATCCATTGCCTTCATCGAGGAAAGCAAAAAAGATACTGACGAGTAAGCTGGGTCCATCCCACGGGCAGGGTTCCGGGTCCTGACGGGCAGGGGCGTCTGACTTCACTGTCCACGGTTTTCCCACGTGGGGTTCCCAGCCCAGCAGCACCAGCACCGCCTGGGAATGTGTTAGCAATGCAGGTTCCCAGGCCGCCCCAGCCCTGCTGAGTCTGAAACACTGGGGTCGGGCACAGAGCCATTTGTGTGTTTACACACAAGTGTGGGAACCCCGCCCTTGGACGTCACCTTCCACCTGGGGCGGATGGCCCTTGTCACTGTGGATTCGTTACTCCTGTTCACTGCGTCTAGCATTTACGTCCCCTCCCTCGCCCCCGACCTCACCGCCACACTGCTGCTGGCATTCTCAGAGATGCAAACTCCAATCGTTTTTGGTATTATTTTGAAAATTTCACTTGTCCTCTTGAAATTGCCGGAAATGGCCTGCGGTACCAGAATTCTGGGATTGAGTCTCACTATTGAAACCTTATGTTACTGCCTTGACGTGTCACCCGGATGGTAATGTCCCTCCCGCAGTCTCTGCCACAGAAAACCTCCGACCCACCCCCGCGTGCCCTTTATGTTCAATCTGGTGGGAGTTCAGCCGTCTCATTCTCAGTGGGGCACGCACACTCCATTTCTTATGAGTCCTCATCTTCCCTCCTGTGATAACATGGAAGTCTCAAAAACAGACTTTGGGGTCCAGCCGGCTGGCGTCACAGCCCCTCTGGTTGTCAGAAAGCTCCCTTAGATGTCCCTCGTCCTGGCTGGCTATGTGGGTGTGGGGGAGCATTCATTCATCGTTCATTCAGTCAGTCAGGAGGCGCCCCAAGACCCTGGGGCTGCCGAGGAGATTAGAGACAAATGCCAGGGCTCGGGTGCTTGTCTCTGGGTCTCTCTAGAGAAACAGAGCAGCCTTGCTCCTGCGCCACTAACTCCCTCCCCACTTCTCCTCCTGCAGGGTTTTCAGCTCCTAACTGGACCCTCTTGCCCGGACGGATGGCAGGGTGGCCGCCCTGCACTTGGCGGGGGTGGCTGCAGGTTCTATAAGCGTGGACACCGCTGAACTCTTCCTCCAGCCCCCCCGCCGCGGCCCCCGCTCTGCCTTGTCCTGTCGCCATGTCCTGGTCCTCCTCTCCTGAGTTCTCACCTCTCCGTGGTTTCCTTGGCCCTCTTGGGTTTTCTCCTTGAGTTTTCCTGCTGCAGTGCGATGCCTTTATAATCCGCAGTGGCTCTTACAAAACCTGTCTCCCTCCCCCTTCTTTCCGACAAGGGCAGATCTCCGCTGCATGAAACCCCTGGAACATGGCTGTGGCTCGTGTTAGGGTGTTTTCTGGGGTTTGCCCTGGAGAAGCTGCAGAGACCGGGCAGAAGAATTTTCTGAGCTAGTCCCTCAGCTGTTCAAATCCCCCCCATCCTTTTTTATGATGACGTTCTGGTCGTGCGAGCGTGTGTGTGTGTGTGTGTGCGCGCGCGTGGGATGGGCCTGGGTCTCCGTCTGTCCTCTTGCCCGTGTAAGCATGTCGCCTGCAGACCCTCAGTGCCACGAAATATGCCCTGGCCCCTGCTGGGACCTCACGCGTCCATAACTAAGGGTCTGTGCTGGTATCCCTGAAACCCTTGGAAGCATTGTAATTGCCCTGGTTTTAAAGGATCAGGGCACGGAGGTGGGGTATGATGATCAAGGGGGAAATCTGCAACGAAAGGGGGAATCACAGCATTGGATGATTTAGATACACCAGGTAGCAGAGCCCTTACTGGGAAATTAACCCATTTAATGGATTGGGCAAACCTGCTCCCAAGCAACGCCCGCCTGCCCACCCCAGTCAGGACCACCTGAACTGGCCCTCCCCAGGCAGTCCCACCCACAAGACTGGGAGTAACGTGGTCCGAGGGAATGAGCTGGAAATAGGAACCTCCCCAGCTTTGCCACCGGATAACTTCAGACATCACCTGTCCTCGCTTCCCTAGTCATAATAATGTTATGAAGCTAAAAAAGTAGGACTGGATGGAACTTTAAAGTTGTGGAGACTGGAAACAATAACCAGGAAGAATATCATTGTTATTTTTTTATCCCCCCCACCCCTGAATGGGGCTTGCTTTTTCAGCCTTGGGGATAAAATAACCGAAGCCAGTGAAGTTGGATCAGGTTGGGGAGGGAGACTATCACGAGGCACCTCGCGGCTCCTTCCCAGGTGGGGGAGCCTGCCCTCGTGCTTTTGGCCTTCTAACACAGTTCCCCCACATTTTTAACCCGATAAAATAATTTGGACAAATAAATTATCCCCAACTCAGATCAGAAACGGGCAGCAAGGAACCTGGGCAGGTGCAGTTTCTCCCTGGCAGGTACCCAGCTCAGTTCGTCTTCTCGGATGAAATGGGGTGGAAGGGTTCCCTTTCTACATGTAAGTACTAAAAGTCAGTGGTGAGAGTCACCCACCACAGCCAAGAAATTCCACTGACCCCCAGGAACTGCCTTCCCCAGGGCTGAAAGGGAGGCAAGCAGCCAGGTCTGGTCTTCTGCCTTGTTTGGTTTGGTTTGGTTGCACAGAAAGATGGCCTTCGCTTGGTATACTGCACACGGCGCTTCTTCCTTGATTCTCAGTTTGGGGGTCTGCCAAAGGGAGAGTGCCCTGGCCCTCGGTGGAGGGACCTTAGATTGGAGGTGCCAGAGGGGAGTCCCCAGGAGGGGACAACCTCAGAGACTCTTAAAGACAAAGAGCAAATCTATCTCACCTGTTTTCCACCCTCCCTGGCAGCCCCCGCTGGTGTCGCATCCCTGGCACCCGGGGTTCGACCTCATGCCAGTTATGATTCCCCAGCCTGCCTTTAATCCTGTTTTCTCCTGCTCAGCCTCCTGGGGCACAGAGACCAAGAACTCGGCTTGCCCAGTTGACCCTTTCTGACCTGGAAGGAAGCCCATTCTAAACCCTTTCTTTCCTGCAAACGTAGCTCTCCTCCCAGGGGCTTCCTTTCCAAGCCTTCGAGCCTTTGGAGATACCTCTTAAGATGTCACTAGCTCCCCAGGGACTGAAATGCTGTGTCCAGCCTCCATCACAGAGGAATTGATCAGCGCTCCCCTCTCCAAATCAAGCTTTGTGCATGAATGCTTTTCCATCGCCAGATAAACACTTATGAGCACTTACTCCATGCCAGGCACCTTCTTCAGAAATCCCTGCCCCTTCTAGTAGCAAGCAGGCAGATGGAAACATCATCTTGTTTTAACAGGGAATCCAAAGAAATTATTACATAACCAGGATCCATCTTTCTTCCCAAGAAGGATTTTGTTTTTAAGTAAATGCCTCTCAACCCCAACACAAAGTGGCTTCATAACTCCTGGCTGGAAGACAGGAGACTGGTCTGATGTGTTTCTCACGGTTGCCAAAATCTCTGATACCAAAAGCCTCGCTGTAAGGAGCCTATCAGGAGTGGAGCCCTGATTTCCGATTCCACTCTGACCCAGGGTGGCTAAATGCTGCCCTCTTGTGGTGGTTTTTTTAGTTCCGTCCTGGTAGCCTGCAAGTTTTGGTTTAGCAGTCGGTGAGCAAAAAACAGGGTTGACTGGGCATTGGGGGGTTGTCCTGGTTTCTCTCTGCCTCTTGAATTGGCCAACAGTAGCTCCAGCTCCATTTCACAGAAGTGAGTTTGGCCAGGAGGAAGGAGACGTCCCCTACAACAGTCCTATTCCTGCACCTTGGGTTGCCAAAGCAGCAGAAAAACTCCCTGAGTGGATACGGGTTTTCCCTTGGTTTCTGTGGAGTCAGACAGCCCGGTATCTTTGCTCTGTGGGGCGGATGCTTCAGACCCACCAAAGTGGAAGTTTAGAAGCAGACCTAAGTCCAGATACTAACTCTGCCCCTGTTTCTGCAGATAGCTGTGAGCTGGTGACCTAACCTTTCTGAGTCCACATAACCACCTGTATACCAAGGTGGAGTAAATGAGATAATGCCCATTAAGTGCCCGGTTATAGTACCTGGCCCAGTGTAAGGTATCACTTTTTTTTCCACTTAATTTATATCATTTCTTCCCTCTCCAGTATGTAGAAGGCACAGTGTCATGTACAGATCAAAACACAGCTCCTCCCTTATAGGAGGTTTGGGTCTGTATGCAGAGACACAGGTCTTAGAATCTGCCTCAGGTCTGGGGTTTGAGAAGTTGATGGCTTTCCACCAGCGGATTTGGGAAAACAAGGTGGCCAGGCCGTGGGAAGAGTGAGCGGAAAGGCATGGATGGGAAGCATGTGGGGTGAATCGGGGCTCCAGACACAGCAGCCTGGCTCTGGAAGGCTGAGGGAGGCGGAGGTACACTGGCAGGGACAGGTAGGGAGCGGTGAGTGGCATGCCACAGGATTTTTGGCTTTATTTGGTAGGCAATAGCACCTTAGGAGTTTTGTTTTTTTTTTAAGGGGAAAATAAGGCCATTGGGGTTATGCTTGGGAAAGAATGTTCTGGCTGCAGTGTAGAGAGTGGGTGGCTGGCCTTTTGAACTATCAGTGGGTTACTGCAGTAACCCAGGGCTCAAATGAGGGCAGGGGCAGATGTGGTGATAAGAGCATTCCAGGGGTTGAATTCCCAGGACACTGATCTGTGGCGGAGGGTGAGAACAAAGGGAAAGTCAAGAGTCTTGCCTCTAGGCTGAGCAAGGGGTCTCAAGAGAAAAAACAGGCTCAGAGGAAAGATAAGTCTTGGGTGTTGACATAATAGCCAGCTTCTCCCCGAGTCAACAGGGTGGATCATTCCAAGGTCCAGCCACGCTTAGATGTGCTGAAAGAGAACTGACCCCAGGCCGGCAGACATCGGCCTTAGAACACAGGACCTTCTTGCCAAACACACTCTTGGCGGCCACCTGCTTTGGGTTTCCAAAAGAAGGTCAGATTTTGCCCCAAGTCAGAAGCAAGTGAGATGTTCTGACCCAGATCATGGTACAAACGGTTCCTGCCAGGATGGGCAAGCCGCTGTCTGGGCCTCCTCAGTCCTACAGCATTGGCCCCTTTGAATTGATGCCGTTCAGAAAAGCGCGGACTTTTTGTTTACTTGTATGTTTCCATCACTGCTGCCCCTTCTCCAGCTCTTTCCCGAGCCCACCCTACCCTCCGAGCTGTCTGTCTGAACCCGCGTGTTCATCTGAGGCTGTCTGCCAGTGATGAGGAAAAAGAAATTTTAATCTGGATTTCCCAAGTGACCTGTCTACGCTCCCTGTCTTCTCCTGCATCCAAATGTGCCATTTGGCTCAGGAATTAAAGACCAAGAGCTGGGGTGGAGGAAAAAGGATTTGAAAAGCTGAAGGAGTGACCATGCCCCCTAGAGACTCAACACAGATGGTCGTCATACACCTGAATTTGGCCTTTTGGGACTAAGAGTAGCCTGGCCTCTCCTCTCTCTCCCACGCCCACCCCGTCCCGGGTCCACCTGCCGGTCCCTGCCAGGTGTCACAGCCAGCTCACCCCAAACACTGATGTTTCTCAGATGTGAGGACCTGCACAAACTGTCACCCCTGGAAAGGGGCTGTTTGGGGTCTGTTCTCTATCAATACTTGTCAGCCTCATGCAAGGGAGGCGATCAGGAGTAAAGATGCCTTGGTATGTTTCTGAGTTTGTTGCATCCCAGGACATCTCTGCATGGTTATGAGCAAGCAGGGCAGGTGTGTCTGGTCCAGAGCAGAGCCCTTTCTTAACCAGGTGGCCCTGGCAGGCAGGAATGAATCTGCCTGAAGAGGCAGCTTTCCATGGTGTTCTAGCAAATGACTCCAGGCCATCGAAGTGCTCAGACGGGGCTCCCGGGGGGCTCTGAGAGACTCTGGTCCAGGCTCTATCAGTTTGAGCACTGTTGGCGTTTGTTGCTGGAGAATTCTTTGTGGTGGGGGCGTCCTGGGCATTGTAGGGTGTTGAGTGGCACCCCTGGCTTCCACCCACCAGGCGTCAGTAGCAGCACCCCTGCCCCCAAGTTGTGACAACCAAACATGTCTTCGGGCGTTGCCAGATGTCCCCTCAGGGCAACAGAATCTCTACGGGCTGCCCCAGGCCTTCTCACCATCGACCTTCTGGAATAATCAGAGCATTTCTCAGCCCAGTGGTTTTCTTTCTATTATCTGCTGCCAAATTGAGAGTTGACGGATTTCAAGAGGGAATAAAAAAAGTGTGGTTTCACCAACTCCCTCCCAAGACAGAAGGCATGAGCCCCATTTCGGTAAGCTACTGTGCCCTTGGCATCCGTTCTGATTAAGACACATGGAGGCCCGTGCCCTCCCGTGCCCCCCGCCTCGCCTCCGCCCTGTTTTCTGTGTCGTTGTGTTGTTGTGATTGTCAGACCCACTCCGGGCTCAGCAGTGGTTTTCCCAGGAGGCCCCGGGGGGCAGCCCCGGGTCCCTGTGCCGGTGGGTTTCCGTTCCGGGGCTGGGGGGCCGGGGAGGTCGCCTCCACATGCTGCCAGAAACTCGGATCCCCCCTACCTCTGAGCTCTCGATGCTGCTAATCTCCGCCAAGTGTCCCGTGTGCTCCAGCACCTTCCCCGAAGGACTGATGCCCGCCCCACGCTCTCTGCGAGGTTGTCCAGGCCGTGCCCGCCGCATGCCCCTCTTCTGTGCTCTTATCTTCTAATTGGATGGAACTCAACACACGTCTACTTATGCCTGTTTGCATCATGGTCAAAATATTAAAAAGTGGACTCGACTCGACTCACTGTGGTCTTTTGTTTGATTGGCTTGGAATGCCTCACGCCTTTGCTCCTTGTCGCAGTGCCCAGTCGGTGTCCCCAGGAAGCCCATGCTGAGACAGAGGTGGCAGGAGGCTGACTGGGGGAGCGCCCTTGGAAGGGAAGGGGCTGTCAGGGGGGAGCTGGAGCTGCAATATTGTCTCAACAGAAACTTCAGCGAACCCTGCAGGGAATTCTGAAGAGCTTGTAGAGCTGTCCCAGATGGGACAAGAAGACTCCACTGTCTGCAGCAGAAGCCACTCCCCAAGGGGCCGAGGGCGTTCCCAGCAGCTGGGGGAAGAGTTCTTGACCCCTGACCTGGGTCTGGGGGGCACTTAGCACCCGGTCCACCCTCCTTCCGCTCACCTTTGCCACCAACACAGCTGCATCTGTAAAAAGGGCGCCAGAAATGGTCCCACCTTCAGCCCCAGCCCTTCCTCCCAGTGTCCACCACCCTGACACCCTAAACCTCAGTCCTGGCGGGCTTCAGACCCAGTTTCAAAAGGAAGAGTCCTCAAAAGCACTAAGAGGACAGATGAAGAGGAGCTGACCCCAACATCCAGACAGAGCGGCCACTCTAAATGGGTCGCCTCGGGGAGGGGTCTTAAGGCTTTATCATGCTCTCTGGACATGGCCACTTAGATGCTCTGGCCATTTTCACCTTCACACCTACTTCCTGGTCATAAAGCACCAACGCTAGCTACCTTCTAAACTGCAGAGGCACTTACGCAACATCAAGCACCCCCTTCACACCATTTCTGACTCCTCTGGCCCGCCCACGAGCCTCAGCCCAGGTTCCAGCATGAGATGCAGCTCAGAGAGGAAGCAGGGAACCTGAGCACCCGGCTCTACGCTGCCCTCCAAAATTAGCTGAATTGAAATAACAGTTACCCAGTGCCAGGCTGCACGAGAATGACACGTTATCATCGCTGTCCCCAATTTAAAACTTGGGAAACGGACGCACACGCAGCTGAGCCAGCTTGTACCAGGTCAGCGCAGTGAGCAAAGGTTAGAAGTCGAGTTTGAGCCCGGACTGTCTGGCTCTGGCATCTGCACTTTAAACTACCACCTGATTGTGGACCCCCCCCCAAAAAAGTTGCCTAAATCAACTGTACTTAAATTAAAAAAATAAAAAGATCAACTATACTTCAATTTAAAAGAAAGTCTAAAAACCATGTTGCCTGCCACTTCAGTAAACAGAGAATGTTGCCGCCTTCAAGCCAGCAGCCGCGCCTGAGGGTGCACCCCGAGGGGAATTCGGGATGGAGAAAAACAGGGAACTAGCCCTAGATAAGATGCACATCAAAGGAATGATTTCAGTGAGCCCAGACTCTTGCATCATCCCATACGTAGAAAAGCATTAAAATGCTTAACTTGAGATGTCTAGGGTTTTTTGTGACTAATAGTAATCTTTTGATGTTCGAGTACTTGTTTTTTTCAGCAAAAACGCATATATATCCTGGCTCCTCCCTTACCTCTTTGGAACAGCTCCTCAGAGCTCTCTGAGAGGGTATCTTCCCGGGCTATGGTCTTCAGTAATGTTCTCTGTAAACACAAATAAAATAAATACAACATGATTCTCAACTTTTAGGTTGTGTTGTTTTTTTCCAGTCAACACAGTGCTGCTGCTAAGAAACCCAGATGGTCACAGTTCAAATCCTGGACCCTCCACTTCCTAGCTGTGCAACTTTGGATAAGTTGCCTAACCTCTCTGTCCCTTTATTTCTTCCCTGTAAAATAGGCGGTGATCATTTCAACTTCCTTGCATTGCGATCGGATTAAATGAGTTAAGATACGCAACACACACAGAACATGATGGAATGGAACGGAATGGAAGAGAATAATCTTGTACACCAGTAAATTAGGGTCCAGCTACGGTTCCGTCCAACTTTCTCAGCTCTTTTATCTTATCGAAGCTCAGACGGCCCCATCTTGATGCCATTTGCCATTTGATACTTAGGCACAGGGTTTCTCAGGTCTCCTGCCATCATGGGGGCCACTGGTTTTGAAAGCCAGTTCCTGGCCTCTTGCCACACCTGCTCATTAGCACTTGCTGGGGATAAGGTCTGACACCGCTCATGTCTTTAACCAGCTCCCCCACAGGACTCATACACACGCGGGAGTTTTGACAGGCCCAGCCTCAGAGGTGGCTGGGGACAATGTAACATTTATATGCATCCCGGCTAGGGTGGCTTCTGTTGCCTGGCAACCAGGTGACAAATCCATGTTTACACCCAAACAGAACCTTTCCAACCACAAATCAAAAAGAGAAGGGAGTGGAAGACAAGTTGGGGGTAGGGGGAGAATTTTTGAGTTGCTGCAGATCGGTATAGAATAGGGTTTCTCAGTCAGTTAAATAGAAAAATATACTTCTTTTTTTCATGGTACCCTTGGCAGAATCGCCGACAGAGCAAAAACAGGGAAAGTACTTACAGAGCTTAACCTGCATCAGTAAAAGGAAATCACTTTAGCAATAGCCTCTGGAGGAAAATAAGATTAAGTTAATCAAATAGCAGAAGATTAAAACCAGAGTAATTAGTAAAGTGACTTTTTAAAAAAGACTCAAATGTTTTGTACTATTAGAGCTGGGGGCAGGGTTGGGGGGACAGGAGTGGGTGGTCTCCTGGCTTCTCTGCATCTTGGTTTTCTCCAGTGAAACTCAGAGTTGAGGTTGGAAGTCAGTGTTGGAAGCCCCACTCTCTCCTCCCTAACTGACTATTTCCAAGAATTTTGAGATCTTCAAACATGATGAGCACCACTCTCCTCTCCCATTCCTGGTCTCATAGGGAAACCATTAAGTGTGAGAAAGTCTCTGAGACATACTATCACCTCAAAGTGTAGTATCTTTGGCATTAATTAAACATTAGGCAGTGAGTCATTGACTCAGTTCTGTTTTGAAGGATTTGAAAAGAGTTGCTAATGGAAATGCAGTTATCAGCAGAAAAGTCGCCTGCAAAATCTGTTCCTCATTCCTCCAAGCTGGGGCTGGTAGCATCCCCTTCCTTGAAAAGCACACACTGTCCCCCAGGTTGCCCTTCCAGAAACATCTCTTTCACCCCGTCATGCCTCTGCTCACAGGCACTTGGGGCCATCAAGGACCAGAGCGGGAAGACCAACCCCTCCGGCCAACATTCAGTGCCCGCTTCAGCCACAGGCAGCCTGTGAGTTTCTGTTTTGGCCCCTGCTTCACACAAAGCTTCCAGGCTGCTGATTCACCCCAAGGGTTCTAACCACAGCTTTTCTTTTCCTTCTGGCTGGCCTTCGCTTCTGACACTCCCCTTACATGGAAAAATGCTGAGGGCTTGATTCAACACTGCCTTTGCAGGGAAGCCCTCCTCTACCCTCCAACTACACTTCCTGCCTGAACCAATCGCTGGGCATAGTGAAGGTACTGCTTTGCAATAGTTGTGTGTCCGTGTTTTTATCTGCTTCTGTGTATCGGTTACCTATAGCCACAATAATGCCGAGTAACAACAGTCACAAAAGTCTCCCTGGCACACTGCTTTATTGCTGCAGAGGTTGAAGTCAGGTTGCTATGAGCCAAGGAATTCAAATAGCCTCTACCAGCTGGCAAAGGCCAAGAACAGATGTTCACCCAAAGCCTGCAGGAGGAACACAGCTCTACTGAGTCTTGCTTTTAGCCTCATAAGACCCAACTGAGACCTCTGACATCCAGAGCAGCCAGAGAATAAATCTGTGCTGTGTTAAGCCCCTAAACTGTAGTAGTTTGTTATAGCAGCAATAGAAAAGTAAAATCTATACTGAATCTGTTTCTTACTACTCCCGCCATAGGGAAGAATCCATTTCCTTATGTTTGCCAGCTTCTAGAATCTTGGCTTATGGCCCAGCATCACTCAAACCTCTGCCTCCACTGTGACATCTCCTCTCTCTGACCCTAACCCTCCTGTCCCCCTCTTATAAGGACCCTTGTGATAACACTGAGCTCACAACCGTTGTCCAGGATAATCTCTGCATCTCAAGATTCCTAACTTAATTACTTCTGCAGAGTCCCTTTTGCCATGTCAGATACCTATGATATTGTGGTTTATAATAAGAAACATCTGTTTGGTCTTGGTCCTAATTCTAGCCCAGAGCCCCTAAAATCCTTAGAATCTCCTGTGATGAAAGCAATAAAGGTATCCTGTTATTCTTAACAAATCCCTTCCAACCACACGTGACTTTATGTTACTGTGGTGATTTTTGGAAAGCACCTGAGGAAGGGGGCTGGTTGCCAGGGGAACCTACCAGGTGATTAGAGCGTTTGAACTTTCAGTCCTTCCCCCGACCTCCTGGGAGGGGAGAGAGGCTGGAGTTTGAATTGATCGCCAGGGGCCAATGATTTAACCAATCATTCCTATATAAAGAGGCCTCCATGAAGTCCCAAAAGGACAGAGTTCAGAGAGCTTTCAGGTTGGTAAAGAGGTGGGCATCTGGGGAGAGTGGCGGGCTCAGAGCGCAAAGACACTCCGTACCGTTTCCCCACACCCGGCTCTGTGCGTCTTCCACCTGGTTGTACCTGAGATACACCCTTTTACGTTACACTGATAATCTAGTAAGCAAAACGTTTTTCTGAGTTCTGAGAGTTGCTCTAGCAAATTAATCTAACGCAAGGCGGGGTGGGTCATGGGAACCTCCCAGCTGTAGCCAGTTGTCAGAAGCACAGGTGACAGTGATGTGGACTTACAATATGGCTTTTGAAGGGCAGCAAGGGGGAGGCAGATGGTGTCAGAATTGAGTCAAATTGTAGGATGCCCAGCTGGTGTTGGAGAATTGCTTGGTGGTGTGGGGGAAACACATCATAGCCATGTATCCACAGGTTCTAGAGATTAGAATGTGAACTGTTTAGGAACCATTATTTAGCCCAC